GAGAGAGGCAGAGACACAGGCAGAGGGAGAGGCAGGCTCCATGCAGGGAGTCTGACATGGGACTCGATCCTGGGTCTCCAGGATCAGGCCCTGGACCGAAGGTGGCGCTAAACCGCTGAGCCACGTGGGGCTCACACTCACAACCCTGAGATCAAGAGTTGCATGTTGTACCAAATGAGCCAGCCAGACACCCCTATTTCTGTTACTTTAAATTTACTGTCATAAAGATTTCAAACCATGAGATTAAAATGGAATAAATGAAGAGACAAATGTAGTTTTTTTTGAAATGTAATTTTTCTTTGCAAAAAGAGGGAGGGTTAAGGAATAGAGAAATGTTAGGTTTTTTTTTTTTTTGAGATTCTCATACTGAATAAATCATTATATGTAAACCAGAGTAATTCCCTTATGCATGAAAATTAGTTGATCACTGTGGTCCTACAACCTCCACATACTCCTGTTTTGTTACAAATTTCGATGATCTATCTATTTGTTCTGTTAGAAGAGGGAAGGAACAGTGAGGCAGGAGACTGTTTACACAGTAACAAGGCAGTGATAACTTATTGAGGAATAATATGTGCCAGGTGCTGTGAGAAGAGCTTTAGGGATAGGAAATTAATCCTCACAACTGCCCTGTGAAGTGTCAGCCCCAATTTATTAAAGAAACTGAGGCACAGAGAAGTGTGAAAAGCCAGCAGATGGTTGGGCTGTATTTCAAACTCAAGTATGTCTGACTTGAAAGCTCTTATTCTTCACCATTCTTCCACTTATTCTTCTTTATTCTTTCAAAATGAATACACCTCTCATCAGTAAAACTCACTGAACATCTAGGGCACTATGCCAGCTGTGTGTATGAGGAGGAGGGGAGTCAATGAGGAACGAGGGAATTCATGGACTCTTCTATTCACTACTCTCTCATTTGGTAGCTAAGGACTAGATGTGGCACAGTGGAAAGGGATGGAGCAGGAGGCATAAGGAAAGAGAACATGGCTTGTTTTAGGCTGGGTGCTTTAACCTCAGATTTGATTACATAAATGGGGCTAGAGCCCTTCTCTAGATGAGCCACCTGAAGCTCAGAGAACCTAGTCTCTTGCCTGAGGTCAATATGGATGATGGAAAAGAAGAGGGGCTATCCTACCAACAGAAAACCACCTGTCTGTCACCTAGTTCTGTGGAAAAGAAGAGGTCTGGGGAAATTTAATACTACCTACAGTTGAGACATAGTTCACATTTATAATATAGACAATTTTGGTAAATTTATTGTGGAAAAATGTGACAAGTCTTAACAGCTGTTGTATACTTACTTGAAGAGTTTAAGATAGATTTTAACCACCTAAAAATGTTTTTTTTTCTCGTATAAAGTAGGTATGTTTATCATAATAATTCTTCTTCTGTAGTAAATTCAAGTTTTAAGTTTTACAGTTGCTTAAGATATTTTAAATATGTAAGTCTCTTATGCAGAAGACAATTACAGAAATCCTTATTGTCAATTGATAATGCCATTTCCCGGTATTTGTTCAGATGCCCAACAGCTGTATTCTTCCCCCCCTTACAAAAAAAAGCATACAATCATAATAAACTTCTACTTTCAAGATGTGTAAAACCTTCAGCAGGAGCCATGCCGATGGACGCCATGCAGGGGTATCAATGCAATCACCACCCCTACAAATCTCTGCTGGCCGCTACGCGCAGGTGCTGTTTTAAGTGCTTTTACATGGATTTCTCAACACGCCTACAAGTCAGGTATTATCATCCCCTTGTAACAGATGAGGAAACTGAGTAAGTGGAGACTAAGCATGTTTTTCAAGACCACAAAGCTAGAAATCCTATCCTGCAATCTGACAGCAGAGGCCATGCTCTTCTTCACCACCTACCCTTGGCAAAAGGAACATCTCAACTAAGCAAGGATCAGTATTTTTCCTCTGTGTAAAATTCTGGAAATATCTGTTCAAGGCTGAAGCTTGTAAAAACAACACTCTTTTGGCTTGTTTATATATGGTAACTCTGTGATCCTCAAACTCTCAGAGGATCTATGGGAAGCAACCTCGAGCTCTGCAGTGGATTTCCCATACTTGGCTTTAAGAGGCAGCGCCTTGGCCGGCCTCCTCTGTCTTGGTTGATCTTGCTGTCCATCAAATTGTCTCACAAGGCCCCAGTTCCATTTCACTTCTGTTTGATTGGGGGGGAGGGTGTTTCCCACTAGAAATTTTCTCATTTTTACATCCGTCCATGCATCCTACCAGGAACAATTACAAAATCTTGCCAGGAAACAGCTGCTCCTGCATTTTCTCATCAAGCCTCCTGCATCTTTACCTTTATGCCCACCATTCCCTTTTTAGGGAAGGGTGGTACTTCTCTGAAGATTTCTTGTTCTTTCTCTTTTGAGTCATATGACCTCACTCTATACCAAACTAATACCTATGGATCTTAAATTGTAACTGTGAAGATCTGATGCCACTTTAAATGTTTTCTCCAATCATTTAAAAAAACACAAAAACCCTAAAATTCATGTAGCATAAAAATAAATGCCTATTTCTATTTAGATTATTGTATTATAGTTGAGATACTTTATTTCCATACTGACAGAAACAGAAGTAGCTAAATAATTTAACAATTCCATTTATTTTTCTCTTGTTAACAACATTCAGAGTAGAGGGAACCAGACATCCCTTGCCAGGAGCTTTCAGAGCTTACCCAGGGTGCAATCACGGCGCCCTGGTTCATCTCAAACAGGGCTGGGAGTGCTATTTCTCAATAATGGAGGGCACAGACAGCTTTGTCTCTTGACAGTCTAACTAATAGCATCTCTCCAAGCTAGAAACAGTGTTTTCACATCAGCAATGACATATGCAATATGTAAAAGCTGAGCATAAAATCTGTGGGTTGTTGTACATACAAAAAATGTCTGGTTGTATCAATGAAGTCTTAAAATTTCAGAAACTTTTCTCACATAAACTGTACAATCAAAAAGACTAGACATGCTCTATTTGGTTATATAATTTCCCTTCTTTAACCTACTTTATCGAATAGAATGAGAGAGAAAGAAGAGAGAGAGAGAAATTAAGTTACAAAAGGTGTTTGCAGGCCAGAACTCAGAAAATTTGTTATCGAGTTTAGAGTTTCATCCCTTCTTACTAAAAAAAAAAAAGCTGAAAAAGTTCCTCTGTATGTTAAAGTTACCTGTATGTTAAAGTTACTTTGTTTTTCCTTTTCCCTCTCAAGTTTCCTTTCTCTTTCCCAACTTGAAAGCACTCTTGAAGCACCAGAGAAAGGAAGAGCCTCCCGGTTTTGCCTCCCTCTGAGCATCTGTTCATAGGCCAGCAGGCCAGTGGGGGGATAGCTTGAGGTTCGGCTGTCTGCAACCATTCTTCCAGCACTTCTCACCAGAAACCCCTGCAGTCAGGTTTTTGTCCTCTCCATTCCAGAGGGATGGCTCTCTCCAGAGTCACCAGTGACTTGTGCACTGCCAAATGCAGTTTACACTGCACCAGACTTTGCAGCAGTGATTCCCACAAATCCCTTCTCTGAGGCCCCTTGTCCACTTGACTCTGGGAGCCAGCTCTCTTGCCGCTCTGCTCCCTCACTGACCATATTCGGTTTGTCCCCTCTGTTTATTTTGAGTCTTTAACTGTTCTTTTCTTTTCTGCATTACTTGCTAGGTGATCTGACTCCTACCCCAGGCCTTCACATACTATCTTTACACTGAAAGTACTCAAATCTCTGTCTTCAGCCTGGATCTCTGCTCTAAACACTCAGCCTACACATCCCACTGGCTACCCAGCATGTCTACCTGGACATCCAGCAGTCTCTTAAACTAAATGGCTAAAACTGGACTCCTTTTCTCCCCGAAATCTGCTCTTCCTGAGTCTTTATCAACACAGGAAATTCCACTTCTATTCTTCCAGTTGCTCAGACCAAAACTGTTGTGTCATCTTGAGTTCATATTTTGTCCTATGTCATCATCTAACCCAGTGACAAACCACATTGGCGCCACCTTCAAAATATCTAGAACACAACCAGTCCTCAGGTTCCTCACTGCTTTCCCCTGAACTCTAGCAGGAGGCTCCTCACAGGTCTGTTGCTACTGTCACCACCTCATAGCAGCCATAAGGAAGCTTTAGCAACAGAGTTCAGGTTATACTGCCTTTGCTCCAAACCCTCCAACAGCTATCCATCTCACAGACAGAAAGAAATCCAACCCCGCCAGTGCTCAAAGCACCTCAGGATCCAGACCCTCTACGCTGACCTTGCCTCCTACCACCCTCTTTCCTGCTCAAACCACTCAGTGAGGCCAGGGGACAAGAGTGGTTTTTCATTCTACTGTAATGATCTAACTCCACCTTCCCCTGACTCATCCCTTCCTTGATTTCTTTGCATAAATGTTACCCTATCAGTGTTTTCCTGGTTTGTTTTTCTCAGCACTTGTTGCCATAGGATATACTTCTATATCTCTGTGACAAGAATGTAGAGTAAATGAGAGAAGGGGCTTTGCTGGTTCACTGTTGTATGGTCAGTGTTTAGGCTCATAACCTGTACTTGGGGGCTGGGCAGGGGTGGTGGGGGCATAATAATTATTTTGTTGAAGGAATGAATAAATGATGTAGCTGAGGGAGAGAGTGGAGTTCGGGCCAACAATTTCTTTCCTTACTTTGGTACGTAGCAAATAGTGTCATGAGAATACACTACTGACAGTGGCAATTTCAAAGCAGGAAGAAAAAGTGTGGAAGAGGAACAAAAGTCAGACTATGGTTCCTACTCAGGGATGGTAGAGGAATTACCTTCGAACATTTATAAGATATGCAGGCCCAAGCCTAACCACTGAAGAATCTGATTTGGGATGTAGAGGTGGGGACAGGGTAACTATATTTTTAAAAGTTCCCCGAGTGATTCTGACTTCTGGTCCCTGTTCAAACCACTTACTCAAAAGAAACATCTCAAAAGGCATGTGGTAAACTATACAGTAAATAAAATAACACACATCATTTTTTTAAAAACCCACATACCTGACTGGGGACTCAAAAATATAGTTGTTTTTTGTTTCTTTTTGTCTTCATGTAAAAGCACTGCCTAAAAAATGAAATAGACTAGTTTACAAAATTGAAAGGAATAGCATTTGAAAAAACAGCCTTAAACTGTTACCATATCCAAGGAGGGCCAAAACTAGGCATGTGGAAGGCAGAACTTCGCAAGTCAATTGAAAAGCAAGACAGAGACTGAGGAATCCTCAAAGCATGCCCTGGCATCCAGAGCATAGCAAGCCTCACCCCACGCTGCAGTGAGGGCAGAGGAAGGAGCCAGGCAGGTTAGTCGGGAAGGAGGGCAGGACCGGGCACCCAGCATCTTGCCCAGGGGGCCCAGCACCTCGACCAGGGCACAGGGGTGCTGGCGCACAGCTGCTAGCACTCAGAAGGCTTCGCTGAGCAGACAGATGACCCAAGGGCTTCCTACTCAGGTGTGAGCCAGGTTTACCTGAGCAAATGTGCCAGTTGGTCTCAAGGGGCTAGGTGAAGAAGGGGATCCAAATACACAATCTGATTTAGACATACCTGAGAAAAAAATTAGCACTTTTTGTTTTCTCACTTTAAAATGAAAGCAGTAGCCCTGTTTTCAAACTTTCACAGAACAATTTTCTGTGGATAGAACAGAAGCTCCACTCAGTATGTTGGGTGGACAAAATAATCACACATTTGAAGAAACGGAATGGGGCAGCATAATTTTTAGATAGGAAGAAGCAACTGATTTCCTTGAGTTGTTATTGGAGGAAACACACCACATTCTAACTGCCCCTTTTCCTATTTTACCTTTAGAATACAGTGACTACTTGTTTAATGTGTAAATATTGCATTTTGAGGAATCCAAGATTCTAGTGCTTTTCCTTAGGCTTGAAAATACCCACCACCTCCTCCAACCCCAGGATACCCCTGGTTTTTCTTGATTTGTTGCTGCCCCTGTAGCCTGCCAGCACTGTTCTATTTTGAGAGCTTCACTAGCAGACAACTTAAAACTTGCTACCAGCTAGGAGGAAGAAATCGATCCAAGCTGGGGGCACACAGGGGCCTCCCCTCACTGCTGCACTGTACCAAAGAGGAGCACAATGATGATGTGCTTCATGCTACAGTAAGCATGGACCACCAGTTCTTCAGAAGGGTCTACAAAAATAACTTTGGTAAAACTGCATTACATCTTATCTATACTGTTTCCAGTTTCCTCATCTGTAAATGGGGTGATCAATACCACCATCTCTTGGGGCTGGGGAGAAAATCCAAGGAGATTGCCTATGTAAAGTACTTAAAATAGTGCCTGAATCATAGGAAGCACTCCCATGAATGTTGGCTCTAGCTATTATTTTAATTTCTCTTAAATTTATATTCCTCTTATAATCATAGAAGATCTGGTAGATGTCCCATGTCAGGGTAAAAAAAGTTTGAATTTAAATTTGTCTGAGTTCCTTAAAAGTAGGGCAAGCTGTATCTTCCATAAACACTGAAGTCCTATTTTAAAACCAATAATTAAATAATTTAAAAATATAGTTCATTCCATATAAAGCTCCTTTAAAAAAAAAAAGAAGTGCTCTAAAAATTTTGTCTTTAAAAAAAAGAGACACTATTGCTGCTATGATATAATAAAATGGAAGAGAGGTACTAGTATTCTAGGAATGATGAACGGTAGAGTATTTTAAGGGAATTGTAATCAGTGCTGACTCTTTTACACCGTCCGCACACATATACAGCTGAGGACAGGAACAGCAGAGGTTACTACTTTAATCTGAAAAAAAAAAAATGACTTCCCTCGGTTTCTTTTCTATGCCAATCAAATGCCATCCACTCTCACAGGTTTGTTCTGGGAAATAAAGTCAGAGTGTATAAACTGCTTTATAAATCCAACTTCTTATATACACACAAGGTACCTTCACTCTTAACAATCTGTTAAAAAGGTGCCTGCACTGGACACTTTATCCATTTAATAGAAGGGGTCAATGCAGATCCAACAACTCAAAGGGACGAGATGTATGGATGATATTCGACTATAGACTGATAATGTATTTTGCCTCATTGTAAGAATAATCATGCTTGCTGCAGGAAACTATTAAAAGGATGACGTACTCCGTAATTCTCTTCTGCAGTTAGAACCACCATAACTGTGTAACACCATTCCTTCTAGTCCTTCTTCTAGGCATGTGCATATATATATATTTAAACAAAAGTACAAATGGCTCACTATACAAAGCTTTGTGTCCTGAGATAATTTAGTTATGCCTCCCCCATGGCCAGTCAGTGCTTCAATTTCAAAAGTGCACAAACTGAGTAGTGAAGCTCAAGTGGCAGCTTGTTTTCTGGTCACTTAGGCTACATTTTATAGGCACTGGGGATGACTGGGTTTTCCATTCACTGATAATCCTAGAAAAGTCAACCGAATGACTTCCATAAGCCTCTCAATGAAACTGGGAGTAAGTTTAAGACATATAAGAGGGTCTGAATTAAAGGGGGTGGGTTTACTTTCTCAAAATCTTTTTAAGTGAATTTGTTAAAGAAATAAATATAACTGAAGTAGTAAAGAACTCTAAAACTCTAAAAAAGAGATTTCCCTTGAGATGTGAGTGCAAACATCGAGGTATGACCGGTATCCATACCTGGAGAGCCTTTAAACTGTGGGCATTCCTTTTTAATGTGCCCTTCTCTTCCACAAATAAAACAACGTTTTTCTCTTAAGTCTTTGTCATCCTGTCTCTTCCATTTTTCCATTGGTGGCCTGAGAATTTTCTCTCTGCCCAGGTCAACAGCTGCCCTCACTGGCTTGGCTTTCTGAGGTGTGCAGTGCATGGGCTTATCTTCTTTTGTCGACACCTCCCTCTCTGTGTACTTGTTCTGAATTTCTTTGTCCTCTTTGCTTCTCTTCTCTTTGTTCTCAGGGTATCTTTGGTTCGGGATATCTTCCTGATCACGCCGTCGCCTCACTCTAGAAGATGATATAACACCGGTAGGAAAGATCTAAACAGAAACCTGGTAAGATATTAAGAGCATTCCAGGTTTGGGAGATAACCAGAGCTAGAAGATATCGGAGGGCAAAACAAGAATTTAACAAACTTAAGTCTGCCCCCTCTTTCAAGAAGCAACCTCAGGGAGATGGTAGTTTTTCTTTTTGATTTTCACGACTATTCTAGTGCCACAAAACCAGTGTGGAACTTCTTGGTCCAGTACCTACTATGATATGGATGTTATGAAACTCCAATGATCTTTGGGGTGATTTCTTGCAACTTTGTGGCCCATTCTTTACTAGGCACTAGAAATTTGAAACATGGAACTTTCAGTTCACAAGGAAACAGGGGTTATAAGGAGATTTATATTCTTAAAATGTTAAAAACATTTCTTTTTTGTTCTATATGATCGGTGACTATTACTTGAACAAAAAACCAAAGTACTAAAAATAAGAGCCTCAAATTCCAGATGGTGCCTTATTTTAAGAGCATGTTTTAAGATGAGAGTATTATTGTCCAATTAAGACCACCACACCATCCAAAACAACATTATGTCCCAAGTAAGCAACCCAAACTGCCCCTCCAGCCCTGCCTGCCAAAAACATCACCAGAAGAAAGCATGGTGACCAAAGTGAGTGGGTCACCACAGCAACTATATTAAGGGTTAAACTGCGTACACGTGAAGGCTCCTTCCTATATGGCAATAAGCTGTACATGAGTCTGGCACAGCTCAGTTCCATACGGGGGTGGAAGTGATGTCCTCAAGGAGCCCATTTTACTTTCCTTTTCTCTTCTTCCATCCCTGTTGGAGAATGGTGACCAAATGGCAGAGTACCAAGTGGGGCAGTGACCAAAATGAGGAAAGGGGACCAGGGCTGGAAGACTTTTAGCTGTACCCCCGAGGGATATCTGGTCATCTGCACTTAAAGGCATGTTTCATACCACTTCATTTTTGTTGTGAAAAATCATTTATCTGAGAACTGCTGGATTTAACACAAGTTTATTTTGTTACAATAGAACCTCATTTAAAAACTGGTACAGTAAGAAAGTAAAAACAAAACCACCCCTTTTGAACACTGACTTACTTTCTCCTCATAGGACAGTCCTTCATGAAGTGTCCAATTTTACCACAAATTCGGCAACATCTATCATTTGGGGCCAACTCTCCTTCAGTTAGCACTTCTGGATCAAAAAAGTACTCCTAGTAGAACAATTTAAACATAGAAAAATATGAACAATTAAAATGTGAGATCAAAACACAAAAACTAACCAGATATCAATCAGAGACCTTCTTCTTAATAATGATTATTATACTGTTTAATTCCAAAATCTAAAACCATTAAGAGGTTTACTTCAGGATAGTTTTACCTAAATTCATGATGGTTTATTCCTAGTCATCATGCACACCACAGTTTAACCCTACCCACAAAGAGAGCCTGTTTTTCCAGGACACTTCTACACAAGAGCATCACACATACCCCTGAGTCAGCTTCCCCAGGATTTGGGGGAAGCAGAGGCCAGGTATAATAAAGGCTTTGCTTTCTCATAACATGAAAAGGCTAAAACTCAGTAAACTGAGGAATGTGATTTGCATTACACAGATTACACAGAGAAAACAAAAGAAGCTATGTGTTGTTCTTTGTTTGTTGTGGCTCCTGGAGAAATTATACCAGAAGAAAGGAAAGATAATGTCTGGACTGAAGCCTCCTTGTCAGTGAAATTATCCTCACCCCAGATCTCCTGGATCAGAATTTGCGTTTTAAACAAAATCCCCAAGGTGGATTTTGCTGGAACAAGTTTCAGAAGCCTTGGTGTAGAAGATAGCTACTGCATATTCAGCAAAAACTAGATGCACAGATGTGATCTAATGCTGAATATACACCCTATACACTTAAAGTTCATTTAAAGTCTTTATTAAGAAATTTAATGTAGAAAAAAAATAACTTTATTTTTTAACAGAAAACTCTCTAGTTCCTAATCCCCCCTTTTCTCTCACTGAGGGAATTTTCATTTATTTATTTATTCATTCTATTTTTAAAGATTTTATTTATTTATTTAACAGAGAAAGAAAGAACACACAAGCAGAGGGAGCAGCAGGCAGAGGGGGAAGAAGCAGGCTACTTGCTGAGCAAGGAGCTAGACGTGGATGGGGCTCGATCCTAGGACCCTGGGATCATGACCTGAGCCTAAGGCAGAGGCTTAACGGACTGAGCCACCCAAGTGCCCTGAAGGAAATTTTTATAGTGCAATTTTGTTTTGTTTTTAATGAGTCCAGTTCCATAATAATTTTGAGTATTAGGTTATATGACACCAGTTAGCTTGCTTTCACAGAGCAGTCTCTCTGCCAGTCCCATTTAGAGATGTATTACTCTGCAAGCAGAGGGAACAACCTAGACTTCACATGAAGAGAGTGGAGGAACCATGGCTATATGCAAGTTGGATTTGGTAGAGGCTGCACAGAGCTGAACGTTGGTAGAGCAGCAATGCCATCTACATGCGTGACGTGATGAAGGCAAAGCAGCAGCACCAAAATGACTGATTTTCCCAAACTCCACTTCTGGCTGTTTCTCCCTTTTTTCCTGATAAAAATGGCCTCAGAATTGGGATATATATAAAAAAAGGTTTTTAGGAATTACTCTGTATTGTGATTATTTATTTGGCTAGACTTACCAGACTTTCAGAGTATTTATTATTGACATAACATGTACAAATTAAGGTGTTTAATAAAGTTCCTTTTTTTGGGGGGTATATTTGATATTTCTAATGGACACTTACCATTTTTGAGGGGCAGTCTTTTGGAAATCCTTTGACTGGAATACCAAATACTCTTCTACCATTAATAAATGCTTTCATTATAAAATTTGTCACTAGAAAGAAAAGAGTAAGTGCCCAATTAGATGGATTAAAAGGAAAAGGGATCACATTAACATTTATAAACAAAGCAACTTACTTTTCCTTGATAATCCAGCTCCCAGATTATGATTCAAATCAAAGGGATCTAAGTAAAGAAAATTAATGAGAACAAAAAAGATAATGAAATAGGAAATGCCACTATTCACCCATTTAAGTGAGTATATAAGAAAGTGTTATATACTTTATCATTAATAAAAGTACAGGACCCTTGAACAACGTGGGGGATAGAAACACCAAATCCCCACACAGTCAAAAATCCATGCATAGCTTTTTGAGTTCCCCAAAACTTAACTAGTAACAGCATACTACTGACCAGAAGCCTCACCTATAACATAGTTGATATGTATTTTGTATATGTATTATATACTGCATTTTTTACAATAAAGTAAGCTTAAAGAAAAGAAAATGTTAAGAAAATCATTAAGAGAAAATAAATTTACAGTGTTGTATTTATAAAAAAAAAAATTCACATGTAAGTGGACCTGTGCAGTTCAAACCTTTGTTGTTCAAGGGTTAACTATATTAAATGACTGCTTTTTTAAAATGAGTTTCAAATATGTAATATAGCTAAGTAATATATATTCCTAAATATAAGTCAAATGTTTTCTTCAAAGTGTCCATCAAAAAAAGTGTGTTATGTTTGAATCCATATAGACTCCTTCCTATTATGAGCAGTTGCTTCATTTTGAACAACAAAATATTGTTTGGAGAAGACATATTAGTGGAGTGTTATCTAATGGTGCTGGTTTGGGAAGCATAAAGAGGTCATAAATAGATTTAGAACATTTTAGCACTGGATGTTCCTATTAACTAAAGTGTTTTAAGGGTCCCTTTAGGGCAGCCCGGGTGCCTCAGCAGTTTAGCACCACCTTTGGCCCAGGGTGTGATCCTGGAGACCGGGGATCCAGTCCCATGTCAGGCTCCTTGAATGGAGCCTGCTTCTCTCTCTGTCTGTGTCTCTGCCTCTCTCTCTCTCTCTCTCTCTTTCTGTGTCTCTCATGAATAAATAAATAAAATCTTAAAAAAAAAAGGGTCCCTTTAGTCATCCTGGAGATCATAAAACACACTTATAAGACAAATTAAGACACACACACCTGTCCCAATGGAATGCCAATGCCTACTTGGGACCTCAGTTTTTAGTGAAAGCTTCATAAAGGACTTCATTATGATGTTAAATGTCCGCATCTCAAAGTCTTAGATAAGTGTGTGTGTATGTAGTATGTATATACATATATGTATGTGTGTGTGTGTATATATATATATGTTGTGTTCTGGATTATTATGTATTAGATGACCCAGAAAGTGGTAGGAATAATGAAAAAAATGCTGATATCACAGAATTATTCGAGATAATTTCATGAATAAAACTTGTTCATGAAATAAATGGAGGTAAAGTACTACTTCTAAATTAAAGTACTATTTTATACATGATTTAATATACATACATAATTAATTCATACTTTGAATATTATGTGTAGATATTTAATTATTTCCCATAATGCCTAAAAACACTGAAGAAAAGCAAAGGAAAAAAAAAAAACCTAAAACCTTTCTTGGGGATCATTAAGAAAGTGGAAGACTGCTTATATACAGTACATACAAAAGAAGTACAGAAGTAAAAAGAGGCATCCTTCTGGTTGCCTGTTATGCTTTTCATGGACAATAACTGGGGCATATCATTCAAGATTCAGACTCACTAACAGGTTACAGAGACTTTCACTCAGTTTTGACCCTACACTAATAACTGCTATCAGGTTACCTTCCTGGTAGGTTTGACTATGCTTTCTTCTGGTGTCTTTCATGTGTGTATATGTGGAAATAATTCTGGTTGTTTGCTTAATGCAGCAAAAATATCATAATATTTAGCTACTGGACAAACACTGTTGGGGCCACCACCCCTGAAACTCCTCCATTCTAGAATTGCTGGTTTAAAGTCTTCTTTCTAATTTAGCCTGTTACTAATGGTTCATCTTAAAGTAATGTAAAAATGAGAAGTAAAAGATAAAGAGACTTCAAAAATTAAAAACAAAATATGGACAACTGGAGACCTTAAGAACCCACTATGATAATAGAAAGGTTTGAGACAAAGTTCTAGGTTTTTGACATATGAGATCCTAAAAAGTTAAAACCCTATCTAAAGCCTTAGTGATCTGAATTTAATTGTATAAATATTCAAGAGTATTTTAATATTGCCAACAGGCAGAAGTAATGATGCAAATATAACCTAAAGTAACACACATTATTTAACTAGTATATTTTTTAAAAAATAAAAAGATTAAAGTCAATAAAATACTTTTTAAGCCATTTCTCAGTTCAGTTTTAAGCACTTAAACTCCATTTTGTCCCTAAAATTAAAATCTCACAAATTGAAAATAAACAATCAACTACAAACATATATGGCCCATGGATCCTTGCATTCAATGGAAGAAAAGGCTTCAGCATGGGCAAAAGAAATGTAAAAAATTGTAAATAATTACTTATAGGTAAACTTCTTCATGAATAAATAGCAAGTGAGGATCCTGAAAATTCATTCTTAGTGGCCCCTCTTCAAACTCTCCATTCAGAAAAGTGATAAAAGTTCCAGTCTTTGGAACGCCTGGGTGGCTCAGTTGTTGAGCATTTGCCTTCAGCTCTGGGTGTGATCCCGGGGTCCTGGGATCGAGTTCAGCATCAGGCTTCCCACAGGGACCCTGCTTCTCCCTCTGCCTATGTCTCTGCTTCTCTCTTCTGCATCTCTGCTGACTAAATAAACAAAATCTTAACAAAACGAAACAAAACAACTTCCAGTCTTTTGAAGCTGCCTATCTCTATTGCAAACTTATTCTCCAGTACGTGTTCAACAAAAGTCAAAGATGTGCCCTGGCCAAAAGACTTTTGAATTGGAGAGGCCCCACAGGAGGACACTGGTCATTTAAAAATAAATCTTTATGCTGTTATGCTGGAAACAGACAAGTGTCCTGATGTGGACAGTAACAAGATGGCTATGCGGCACATCCCAACCAGTGGCTCCCTGCTGTTCTGCAAGAGCACTGCAGGGATGAAGAACAATGCCCTCATAGTTCAAACTCTATAATTCTATTTGATTTTAAGTTTCATTTTATTTGTACCTTCAATAACAATGTATTTTGAGGTCCACTGTTTCTTAAAAGTTGTAAGCAGACTTTTTCTCCTGATGCTAATAACATGTTCTTTAAAATCAAATTCCTCTGTGTAGAATCGAAGAAGTCCCAACCATAGCTGCCCAACAGATTCTGTATTTTTCCCATATTCTGGCCAATAGGTGGGCTAGAAATAGAAGGGAACAAGAGATATCATGCTCCATAGTAAAGTGTTAATATCTATCTTCATTTGTATCTTAGGGAGTAAATTTGGACTTATTTTAATTAACTGGAATTTAAATACATAAAAATATAATTATGTAACTTTTCTTTCACATTTAAAAATACCATTTATATGAGTTTATTAATCTCTACCCTGTGAGTTGGAGATAGTGAGAGCTCAGGGTTTTAAATGTCAAACCCCAGAATGTATGTTTGTGGAAGAATCTGGAAATAAATTTGAAGAGCCTTGATGATGCCTGGGTTATAGATCTTTGAACTCAAAGTTTTTTCAAACTCTAAAAACCACTTTGCAAATATTCATTCACTTGGAATAAAGTTATATAACATTTGAAATTGACAGGCATTAAAGAATCCTAGATACAGTCCCTAGAAACTCACCTGGCTTAATAAAAATGTTTTCAATTTCAAAGGAAACATCTGTATATGCTAGTTTTTTACTATCATAATATAAATAAATATAACAAATGATAATATAGTTGTTGACCACTACACCACAGCATAGTACAGCTAACTTTTAGTCAAGGATGTAAAAAAAATCTTTACTCTTAAAATACGTACCAGTTCATCTATTTGATCAAAAAAATAAATATTCCAGCCATCAACAAATATTTCAGGTTTCTTTTCACCTTTGTATATCTGAAATTAATTTTTAAACTATTAGTATGGATTACAAATTTAATGCATTGATACAAAAACTTGTAGGAAAATAGTTAAATATTTAACTATAGAACCACAGAATATTAGAGAAAGAAGAGGGCTCAAAGGCAACCCAGCTTTACAGATGAGAAACACAATTTCTTTTACTAATACCTCTTGAAGGACAGGAATGACTGGTGGATTCCTCTGCTGGAGAAAATATAGCACCATAAGCGTGTATGCATATGACGATAAGCTGCCTCTAGATGCATCACCAATATCACACATCTAGAGGGAAAGAAAACAAGGAACAAAGAGAAGATCACCAATGTTTTCTGGTAAATTTGCAGCTATTTTATTATTACTAAAAATAAGGTGCTTGGGGGATCCCTGGGTGGCTCAGTGGTTTAGTGCCTGCCTTCAGCCCAGGGCGTGATCCTGGAGTCCCGGGATCAAGTCCTGCATCCCGCTCCCTGCATGGAGCCTGCTTCTCCCTCTGCCTATGTCTCTGCCCCCCCACCCCGCCCCTGTCTCTCATAAATAAATAAAAAAAATCTTAAAAAAAAAGGTGCTTTTATAGAGCTTTAATATAAAAATTACATCTTCAAATGCTAAAATATGCCAACAAAAGCAAATAAGACCAAACAAAAGGACATAGAAATCAAACAAAAGAAAAATCCCAACCATCAGCCACAAGCAAGATCAGATTATCATAGGTAAATTTAAGATGACAAAATTTTAGCCTTCCATGGCCGGCTTCCCAAAATAGCTAAAGGAAGCATTTAACATGGCTGTGGTTCTTTACAAAATAAAGACTTATGTTTTCAACTAGATTTGAAGACAGACTGAAATTTCCCAATGAATCCCAAGAGGAAGCATACTTACCTTTGTAAATACTTTCATGGTATAGCATAAGTATTTCACTCTGGGATCAATGGCTGAATAAGCAGATAAGAGCCTCGTGTTATGGAGAGCCTGTTAAGAAGACAATTACACTACAAATTATCAATAAGAAGAAAAAGTTTTAGGCTGGAATATTCTGAAAAGGTTTACACTGTAATTCATTTTAGGTTGAAGACAATTAGACTAAAATTAATATTTTTCCCCCAAACTGAGCTTCATTAACTTCTTAGATAATAAGAATTATGAATGACATCTGAGCTCGTGACTTGCATGTTAATATGTCCTTAGTCTAAACATTCCTAGAAATAAGGCTATTAAGATAATTCCATCTAAGTAGATGTTAAGAGTCCCCCACCTCACCCTGGCATTATTTAAACTGAATGCACCTATGGTCCAGAGAAAGCCCATAAAGCCCTGAAATAATCATCCAAGTGTGAGATCAAAGACATACACTCCAAAATTAAAATTCAAGCCAAACGAAAAGCACCTGCCACTCTGACCTCATTTTAAATAAATACTAACAACTCTTTTTTATATACCCAGTCTCAGAACACTGCCAGGCACCCAGCAAGCACTTCTAAATAATGATTAAAAGAATGAGTAAGATAAAATAAATGGCTTAATTTTGCTTGAGATTTTGTAAATTAAGAGACATTTGTTCCCCTCGACTGCCCTAAAGAAAAAGCCTAGAGAAAAATCTCACCAGTGTGTTATACAAACTGATGTCCACTTCCAGACCACTTCTCAAATGGAAGAACTTTACAATTGGCACCTTTGCTGTTGTAATAGGCAAGATATTTCGCAGACCTAGATTGGAAATAAGATAGTATCATTAAATACAGCAGCCGGAGCCATCAGCTACTCTTATGTTGAGGTTCTAACACAAAATGATGTAAACCTAACTCTGACATGTTTCACTGCAATCACTACAACTACTCAATTCTGTTACTAAATATCTGGAAAGACTCTTCTGGCAAAGTTTATATTAGTTAAACACATCAACATCTGAAATTCAAGGATGAACAAGGCAGACACTGACCTCCAGGAACTCACTGGATTATGGGTGTGCACAGGGCTGTCAGTCTGCTAAATACCAGAACGGAAGAAGCAATTACAGAGCCTAGGCTATGTGGGCCCTTCCTATTCTCTCTACCCAACTATATCTAATACAGAGAAAAGCCTTTGGGATAATCATCTGAATCCTCAAAACAAAAGCTACTCATCACAGAGCCTGAAGTTAAGACAGTAAAAGAAAGGAATCTTCAATAGGAGAGGAGGAAATTGCCTGAACTGGACTTTGAAGAAGGAGAGTGACAAGTAAAGTTAGAAGAGGCTGCGGGGAGGGAAAGGAAAGGCAAGGAAAGTACACATGGACAGGGCAGATGCCTAAAGCAGAATGGCATGTTTGAGAACTTCCATGGAATTGTGAAGGCTATAGAGTAGACTTGAGGGAAAGGAATAATGAGTGATAGGAGGTGTGGCAGAAACCAGGAAGAGCTTCTCTCTATATATCCTTAGAGGCAAAGAGACACCAATGAACTGTATAAGTTGGGGGGAATCACTGACCACATCTATCTGGACAATGCCCTTGGCAGTGGACAGACTGGAGGCACCCACTGGGAGGCAGTGTGACTATTACCAAAAATGATCTATCTGGGCCTGAACTATCTTGGTGGCACAGGGATGCAGAGAAGCAGGAAGACATGCTTAAGAGTATGTATACCTATACCTATATGGGATAGGGAAGTGGGGGCAGGGGGATGGGAAGCAGAGGTAGGGGGAAATAGGGGAGAAGAAGGAGGATTGTAACAGTAAGAAGGAGGATTGTAACAGTGAGAACTACCAGTTCCCGCGCACCAGAATCCTTCACAAACATTACCTCCTAAAATGTTCACCCTCACCCAAAAGATAGAAGACAGAGCCCCAGAGATACTAATGTGCTTAGGAATATGGAGCTAGTAAATCACAGAGCTGAAATCTGCATGTAGGTGTGACCAACACCAAATCTCTACTGAACCCATTCCAGGACAGATTAGTTACTGCTTCACCCATTTTGGTGATTCAAAGGATGTCAATGTCAACCACTGAGAAAGTAGATTCAGAAGGAAGGGCAGGTAGAAGAGGTTGTAGCAGAAGGAAGGCAGTAAAGAGAGAGAGGAGTTCATTCTGAGATGGAGTTGGAGTTTCTCAAAGAGGTAAGCAGCAGTATCTGGAAGGCAGATACATAGTGATCCAGAACTCAGGAGAAAACTATGTAGACAACAGAAGAAATTTCCGAAAAAAATGTCTGTGCAGAGACAGAGGAGGTCTAATTTATACTGGATGGGGGGGGGAGGTAATTCATATTTGCTGAATACTTGGCATATGCTAGATCCTTATTCTACTTTGTAGATGAGGAACTGAACACTTACGATGAAATGAGTGTCTTTCTGGGAATACACAGCCAACAAGTGGGAAGCCAAGATTTAAAACCAGAGAACTGGGGTGCCTGGGTGACCCAGTTGGTTGAGAATCTGCCTTCGGCTCAGGCCATTATGCCAGGGCCCCATGTCAGGCCCTCTGCTCCCCAGGCAGCCTGATTCTCCCTCTCCTTCCTACTCATGCTCTCTCTCTCTCTCAAATAAACAGATAAAAATCTTAAAAAAAAATAAAAAGTTAAAATCAGGAATCTGATTCCAGAACTTCCACTAACTACTTTGCTATACTATATTTAAATTAGATAGCCTTTCACTTTATTTCCTTCTCATTCTAGAATTTGACACTGTTGCCCATTATCAGCCTGTCCTCTACAGTTTATTCACAGCACCTTGTCCTAGTTCTTGTCATTCCAATCGCTCCTTTTTCCATGTCCTTTCTTAATTTCTACCCACAGAAATTAAAGGCTTAGTCCTTAACTACTCTCAAAGGATCCCTTAGAATTCTTTTATTCTTGCTCTCTCTCTCCAAGGATTTCAATGCAAAACTGTTTTCCTTTTGTTCTTCAATCCTGACAGACAACTCCATTATTTCTAATTGGTTGCTGGATTTTTATTTATTTTTTTTTAATTTTTTGTGCTATATAGTATTTTTTTTTATAAATTAATTTTTATTGGTGTTCAATTTACCAACATACAGAATAACACCCAGTGCTCCTCCCGTCAAGTGTCCCCCTCCGTGCCCGTCACCCATTCACCCCCACCCCCCGCCCTCCTCCCCTTCCACCACCCCTAGTTCATTTCCCAGAGTTAGAAGTCTTTATGTTCTGTGTCCCTTTCTGATATCTCGGTTGCTGGACTTTTAACACTTGGGGATTATACCTTCATGGCAAACTACACATCTCTACATGGTGTCTTCTTGCAAACATTCCCATTTCTCAAGTACCCAAACATTAGTCTGAACTTTTATTTCTTACTTGTAGATACCAAAGCTAGGAGATTTCCCCTTGGGAATCTCTCCTCTCCTTTTCCTTTTAGGATCATTAGTATCTGGTTAAGGTCCTTTTGCCCTGAATTCACTTGGGTTATACCTTCCCTGAGAGACTCTACTAGCTGCTGAAAAAGCTTAAATTTTATTTTTAGGGATCCCTGGGTGGCGCAGTGGTTTGGCACCTGCCTTTGGCCCAGGGCGCGATCCTGGAGACCCGGGATCGAATACCACTTGGGGCTCCCGGTGCATGGAGCCTGCTTCTCCCTCTGCCTATGTCTCTGCCTCTCTCTCTCTCTCTCTCTGTGTGTGTGTGACTATCATAAATAAATAAAAATTAAAAAAATTTTTTTAAATTTGTATTGGGTTGCTCCTCTCTTGGAAGAAACTTCACTGGTTTTCAAATATCTGCAGGCTTTATCTTTATCTTATCTAGTGATAGGAACCACCTGAAACTCCTCCCTAAATGTACTGATCTTCCCACTGTCCTCCAAGATATACTACAGTAACTCTCATGTTCATGTGCGCGCACTCTTAGGAAGACTTCTCTTTCTATCTTTCGAGTCATATCCATCATCACCTGAGATCAGTATAAACCCATCTCCTGCATGAATCTTCCCTATGCAACTCTTAAAAAAAAAAAAGATTTTATTTATCCATTAATGAGAGACACAAAAAGAGAGAGAGAGAGAGGCGCAGAGACTCAGGCAGAGGGAGAAGCAGGCTCCATGCAGGGAGCCCAACGTGGGACCGGATCTCAGGTCTCCAGGATCAGGCCTTGGGCTGAAGGTGGCGCTAAACTGCTGAGCCACCGGGGCCGCCCCCTATGCAACTCTTTACCAGAATCTCTCTATCCTCAGAACTTACTGAATACTTATAATAGCTTCTGACTTGTTCTGAAAAATAAATACTACCTTACACTGTTACATGGCCTGTAACATGTAACATGGTATCTTTCCTTTTTTAAAATCTGAAAGTTGGGACATCTGGGTGGCTCAGCGGTTGAACATCTGCCTTCGGCCCAGGGTGTGATCCTGGAGACCAGGGATCGAGTCCCACATCGGGCTCCCTGCATGGAGCCTGCCTCTCTCTCTGTGTCTCTCATGAATAAATAAAATATTAAAAAATAAAATAAAATCTGAAAGTTGTCCGAGTAAAAGACTTGTAGAGACTTTTTATTTTTCCACCATCCCTAAGTGCCCAACACTGTACTGAACACATAGTAGGCACCCAATAAGATAGTTGGGGACTGTTTTTAAAGATGTCAGGTTTCAGTCATAGCCCTCTAGCTATTATTAAATTCTTGTTCCATGCAATCTGTGTTCCATTACTATTATCTGTATGTAGAAGTCATTGCAGTCTAAAAATGACCTGTTTTTAACAAGCATGGCTCATTCTTAGGATAGATACACTTTTGTATTGAGGGGAAAGGAACATGAAGTCTCTAGTTTTTAATCTCAAATGGTACAGGAAAAAATTGAGCCAACTAAATGAAAGATATACAGAGTTTGTCATACAATTTTTGGAGCTTTCCTGTAAGTTTCAAATTATTTCAAAACAAAAAGTAAAAAATCTAGCTCAGTACTAAATAATAAGTGTGGCAACTTAGAAATTTAGTTTATTTGCATAATTTCAAAAAAATTTAAAAAGCTCATGATCTTTATTTAAAGATTCTATTTATTTGAGAGAGAAAGCATGAGAGAGAGACAGAGCATGAGCAGTGGGGAGGAGCAAAGGGAGAAACAGACTCCCAGCCAAGCAGAAAGTCCAATGCAGGACTCAATCCCAAAACTCAGGGATCATGACCTGAGCTGAAGGCAAATGCTTAACTGCCTGGGCCACCCAGGTGCCCAAAAAGCTCATGATCTTTAAAGGTAAAATTCCCAAGTGAAAGGAATGTGTATTTCAGTGACCAAAAAACAAAAAAAAAAAAAAAAAAGAAAAATTATCAATGCAAATTAAAAAAAATACTGATGTTCTATGTTAATTTTCAGAGGGAATAAAATGAAATTAATAGTTTTTCTTGTTATTTAAGTAATGTGCTATCCTTTTTATTTAAATGCTTGGAAATAAAAAAAATACAAAAAAAGGAGAGAGGGAGCACTCCATGTGTGTTTGTGTGTGTGACACACTCCATGTGTATATATGTGTGTGTGATATTAACTTAAGTCTATTCTTTCTGAGAGAGAATAATAAGAGAGAGAGTCTCATAAACCATTTAAGTTTTGTAGGGTCATGAACCATATCATGCTCACCTTCATTCCCAGCTCCTAGCACAGAAATTTGCAAGAAATTTCAAGAAATTTTGAACATTTTAAAAGAAGAGTCTCACTGTTAACAGCACTCATAGCTGTCCCTGACAGCAAAAGAATATGTTAATGTTATGTCAGCACTGTGCACAATTTACAGCATCTATATATTTTATAGTTGTAAAAAAGTGACCTGGTTCAGTTTTCTCAACTTATTGATGAGAGGAAAAGAGATTAAGTTAAATGACTTGTTCAGTGTCACGTACAACTGTTGAGCAGCATAGCTACAAATACAATCCATAACCCCACCGTGCTTTCCATTATGCTGCACACCTGTCAACAACACTTTGATTGATACAGTCTCATTATGACAAAATGGGTTTCCAAAATTTCTTGCCTGTTTTGTATATGCTTTGTTTTGAAATAAAACTAAGCTAGGCAACAATATGCACATGAATGATTACCAATTCTTTAGTCCTTCATGCTTATTCATACAAATTTTTTTTTTTTAAGATTTATTTATTTATGATAGACAGAGAGAGAGAGAGAGAGAGGCAGAGAGACACAGGCAGAGGGAGAAGCAGGCTCCATGCCTGGAGCCCGACGTGGGACTCGATCCCGGGACTCCAGGATTGTGCCCTGGGCCAAAGGCAGGCGCTAAACCGCTGAGCCACCCGGGGATCCCCCTCATACAAATTTTTTTACAGACATCAATATTGCAAATGTGCTATAGATGAGCCACTATACTGTTTCATTGGCATTAATAAATTCTAAGTATGCAAAACACTAGTAAAAAAGACAAAAATATTTTTGGAAAAGTTTGCAGAGGTACCTGAATGTTTTTTGAGGACTCTTGCCAATTCTTCAATAGTTCTTACACAGTCCAACCCCTGCAACAAAAATTGCATATACTGAATCAAAAAAGGAAGACAAGTTCCTAACCTGCATCTAGATAGTTTCCATTACCTTTAGAAATAACGATTAATTTCAGCTCATTCATACATTTTTCCCTTTTAGGCAAGCCTTGGTCAGTATTCATAAGCAATATCCTATGGATATAAAAACTCTCGTAGACCCTACTTCCTAATGGTTTTTGGAAGTACAAGAGAGGCTGAAATCAGATGCCCCAGAAAAGTGTGAATCACTGTCCAGATGAGGACCTCCATTTTTCCTCTTTATGTAGTTGTGTTATTCATAAGTGCACTCTGTGCCAGAATAAATAAGAGGGAGTTTTTGTGCCCCACATTATTCATTCTGGGTGGACTTTCATTATATTTCTGTTAAGAGCTGATGACCTGCTATGGACAGTGATTAAGCTCAGGCGATCTCTCCAGAGGATTGTGTAAATGCACAAATTGAAGTCATATAGCAAATACGATTGTTTAAAAAAAAAAAATCACACTTCAAAACACTGGGCTCACCTTTCACAACATAAACCCTTTGATGGCTATATACATCTCAGAATGTATTTGAAACTTTTGTTCAGAAATGTCCATAAAGCTAGTTTATAAGCCATGTAAAAATTTGATATTGATGACATACAATAAGGTAATTCCACACACTGGACCCACTCCTGCTTGTCCTCTTTACTCACCAAACTCAGGGTAGACAACTTCTGGCTATTTTCCCAAATCAGATACATCCTCAAAAGAAAAAGACTTGAAAATAAGGACAGACAAAAAGATCTTGAGTGACAGCAACATCACTCATTTGGCTCTACAGTATTTGGACTGTTGTCAAAAAGAAAAAAAGATTCTTGGCACTTCTCAGACTTTATACTTCCCTGCAGTGTATTTTGTAAATGTTTCCTATTTGTCAGAGGCTAGTAAACCTTTCTGCTCTGCAAACCACATGACCCTGTTGTAACTACTCAATTCTGTGGTTATTGAGTGAAAGCAGAAGCTGTAAACACTTCACAAATGAAGGATGTGACTTGTGTCCTGAATTGACAAAACAGGCAGTACATAGGCTGGATTTAGCCTATGGGCCATAGTCTGCTGACTCTTGACATACATGATCCAAGCTGATGTGCACAATCTCCGGATGCAAGAGGAACAGAAGGTACTCTTTCCTTTTATAGATTATCAACCAAATACCACATGTTTAGGGACATATGAAACCAAGTTTGTCTTGAATCTAGGTCTCTGAACTGTGAGTTTAGCCCTCTTATCATTGTACCACATTTGTCGGCCTTCTAAAAAATGTCTCAGAGAACCACAATGCCCACCTCTTAAAACACTTTTCAAAAAGCCTTATGTGGGTGTGTGCATCAAAGTCAGCTTACTGGCCATGCCAGTAGGACACCAGAAGGGCTGGTTTGCCTTTATAGTGTTCCCACAGGCTGCTTTCAAATCCACTCTGTACTACAGGTTGAAAGTACTCCTTGCATTTACCTCTAAGCTTAAGTATTTGACCAGAGAGACTATGCCAAATGGCATACTCCATATGGTACGTTCTGATAAATTTGGAAAATACCAAGCTGTACGGTCAGTCAAGATTGTCAAATCATACTGCCACAGCAAATTCAAGTTTTAGGTGGTTACAGTACCTCTGCAGTTTCAAGTCCATTAATTGTCATACAAACGTCAAGGTCACTCTGTTTGAACCCAAATCCATTTTTGGAGGAGCCAAACAAGCTCAATTTAGTTCCTGTTAAGGATATATGTAAAGTAATAACCAATTACTTGAGTACATTTAATTTTCTGATCAAAATAGCCCTCTCAATGAATCAAATATACCCAGCTATTAACTATCCTATATGAATCTCATTATAATTATCTTTTTTTATTAACCATTTATTACAAGCTGTTTTCTCTCAAAATTTATTTTTTTTTCAAAATTTACTTTAAATAAATTCAATCTGCATAAGATGTGAAATACTACCAAGTGCCACTTTATTCTTAAATGTGCAAGGATATTTCAAGGAAAATGTGGATCATATCAATATATTTAATAATGTAATTTTATTGCTTTTTAAATATCCACTTTTTAGAGATGAACTTTGACTTTAAAAATAACACGAAATGAGGGAAGCCTGGGTGGCTCTATGGTTGAGCGTCTGGCCTTTGGCCCAGGGCGTGATCCTGGGGTCCTGGGATTGAGTCCTGCATCAGGCTCCCAGCAAAAAGCCTGCTTCTTCCTCTGCCTGTGTCTCTGCCTCTCTCTGTGTCTCCCATGAATAAATAAATCTACAAAAAAAAATCTTAAAAAAAATAAAAATAAAAACACGAAATGAAATTTCACTTGTGGTGTCTGCTAACAGAAGTCCCACACTGCTACTGTCTTTTCTGTTGGTTAACTAGGATCCGGCAGACCAAAGACCATTCTCGGGATATCACAAAGTAAGTGAAGCCCTGTCCCCACCATCACCACAAAATTACCTTCTCATTCTCAAAGTTAATGTGCTTGTAACACATGTACTCATTCTAAAGGAAGGTCATACTACCTTTCTTTTCTTAAAGGTAAAAAGTTATTTACCTGGAAACTCCTGTCTTATGAAACTTTCTAGGTTTTGCCGAATATGTTCACGAGCTTGATCTTCTAAAATAGTTGGAGAAAAATCCTCTGTTTAAAATAAAAAAAATTTAGAAACAAAGATTGTTCACACTCTCTGGAAAAAAACTTTTTATAAAACAAAATCTAACATTAAAGTTAAAAAGAAAACTCTAAATTTTGTGTCTTCCTGGTAGACAGCATTAGTAATATAAAATAGAAAATGTCTCTCTTTGAAAAGAGTTTATCCCCACTCTTTTACACTGTTGGTGGGAATGCAAGCTGGTGTAGCTACCCTGCAAAACAGGAGGTTTTTGGAGGTTCTTCAAAAAGTTTAAAATACTCTTGGTGTCATTTCCGCTGACGTCACCCCGGGTCACTTCCTGCTTCCCTGCCGGTGGGTCATTTCTGTGTCCTTGTGGCACCGGGCAGGAGACCACCGAGGCAGGCGCGATGACTGAGGCTGATGTAAATCCGAAGGCCTACCCCCTTGCAGATGCCCACCTCACCAAGAAACTACTGGACCTTGTTCAGCAGTCATGTAACTACAAGCAGCTTCGGAAAGGAGCCAACGAAGCCACCAAAACCCTCAACAGAGGTATCTCTGAGTTCATCGTGATGGCTGCAGACGCTGAGCCCCTGGAAATCATCCTGCACCTTCCGCTGCTATGTGAAGATAAGAACGTGCCCTACGTGTTTGTGTGCTCCAAGCAGGCCCTCGGGCGGGCCTGTGGGGTGTCCAGGCCTGTCATTGCCTGTTCTGTCACCATCAAAGAAGGCTCGCAGCTGAAGCAGCAGATCCAGTCCATTCAGCAGTCCATCGAAAGGCTCTTAGTGTAAACCACTGGCCTCTGTCCCACTCCTCACTGAGTCCAGTCCTCCCCCTGGGGTTGTGTATCATATCGTCTGTTCGCATGTAGTTTCTCCAGCTACCTTCTCTTGTTATATTCTAGTACTAAATCCGGGTTTTGCATTTTTGTATTATTTTTGTTTTACAGGTTGTTCTCTGTATATTAATCCCCCACCCCACCTCTGTCTCCCATTCTACTCTCTACCATCCTTTCCTCCCTTTTGAAAAATGAACTAATGCCGAGAACAGGCAGAAACAGAGTGGTGACACCATTCAGATGCAGGGAAGAGCCTCGTTAGAGATCTGGTTTGAGCTCACTTCCTGTTGCGTGTAGGACATGGTGGATGTAAACACCATTCACTTTGTATCCTTTGTGCCTGGAGTGCAGAATCATTCCATATGTGTTTGTTCTCTAGGGGATTATGGGTCATTAGGGGAGAAAGCATGTATTCTTTGAGGTTGTTAGATGTGTGTCCAAGTGTCATTTGCCAATATGCTCCTGCTGTTTGCTTTGGTAATGTGATGTTCCCCTTTCCCCCAAATTCCAACCATGCCCCTGAGGGTGGCAGGGCAGCAGCATACCAAAGAGATGTGCTGCAAAATTCCAGAGGCTACCTGGGTGAGTTAGACATGGGGCAGCTGATGTAAGGAGTTGAGAAGTGGCTAGGAAAAAAAAGAGGGTCCACTGACGCTGGAATGAAGTCTGAGCAAGTCACAGAGCCCTGACTGGAAGCTACAGCAGAGACATTGGAATCAAGGAAACATCCTCTCTGGTGAATGGAGTTGTCTTCAATGGACACTTGGTACCAGCTCTGAGAGCCCTTAATGCCTGTTTCCTGCCAGAATGTGGGTCAGATGTATGTATTCTTTATCACATCAGAAGGACAGTGCTAGTGTGTCATTCTTGTGAGCATCCTAATAAAGAAATATATTCATATTCCAATTAAAAAAAAAAGTTTAAAATAAAGCTACCCTATGATCCAGCAATTGCACTACTAGGTATTTACACCAAAGATATAAATATATTGATCCGAAGGAACACCTGCACCCCAGTGTTTACAGCAACAATGTCCACAATAGCCAGACTATGGAAAGAGCCCAGATGTCCATCAACAGATGAATAGATAAAGATGTGGTATATATATAACAATGGAATATTACTCAGCCATCAAAAAAAATGAAATCATTTGTACTGGTGTGGATGGAACTAGAGGGTATTATGCTAAGTGAAATAAGTCAATCAGAGAAAGACAATTATCATATAACCTCACTCATATGTGGAATTTAAGAAACAAAACAGGATCACAGGGGAAGGGACAGAAAAATAAGACAAAATCAGAGAGGATGCAAACCATAAGACACCCTTAACCATAGGAAATAAACAGCATTGCTGGAGAGGAGGGGCTGTGGGGGGACGGGGGTAACAGGGTGATGGGCATTAAGGAGGGCACATGATGTGATGAGCACTGGGTGTTATATAAGATTGATGAATCACTGACTCTACCTCTGAAACTAATAATATACTAAATGTTAACTGAAATTAAATTTAAAAAGGAAAAAAACCGAAAGTTAATGATGTATTATATCACCCTAAAAATAAAAAATAATAAAACAAACAAAGAAGACAGTCTGTCCCTAGGAGCTGCTCCTGGAATAGAAACAAATCTGCACAGCCGTTCTGCTACTAGATTTCAGAAACGCAGCGGTCTATAAAGGTGGCCTTCAGGTAGCTCCCCCAGAGTGTGAACACTAAAGTTTGCAAGCATGCACAAACATATTGTTTTCTTCGGGGACTCTGGATACATTTCATAGTTTATAACTTCCAAAAAGGTGTAAAAACGACTAAATCACTGGTTAACAAAGAAGTGCCTTCTGACACAGTTGCCTCAGGAGGTAGCACCATGGGGCATCAAGCTCATCTAAAGAGTTACCTGCTTTTCCTATAAACGCGTTTCCTTTAACTTGAATTCTCTGTATACCATTGCTTCCCCACACTGGTATTCCTTAAAGGGCTGTTAGGGGGTTACTCATTAAAGTATTTTATGATTAAATTTTAGAAATGCTGGGATAAAGAGTTACATCAGTTCTTTACCTTAACATTTCTCAGAGGCCATTATTACCCTAACGTGCCCTGTAAATCTCTTGGGCAGGGAGCAGCGGCTACACCCTTCCCTACTTGACCTATGGAGTACTTCTTGCCATGACATACTATTAACTGCACTCAGGAAAACAATTCAAGGAACACCAGTTGGGAATGGGAGTACTCCAACAGTTAGAAGATTCTCCTTCCTTCCCTATTTTTCCTTCCACAATGGTTTACTCTGTCTCAGCTGAAACACACACACAGAGCTCTGTGGACACAGGGAAGAATGGAACAGACATGGTCCCAGTGATGGAGCTAACAGCTCAGTGATGTAGAGGACCTTGAGCAAATGTCAATGCAATATTCTGACAAATGAAATGTTAATAACTTACTGTAACATTGGACGCAAACTTGATCTAAGATATTTAAAAATTTGGGTGTCAGTGGTGGCAGAGGTTCCAGCTGAATTCTTTTGAAGTCTTCGGGACAGTCTTTCTTGAGATGACCTTCTCGTTTGCATAAACTGCACACGACCGTAGGAGACTGCAGTAAGGGTCAAAGCAAAACAAGACATAATATACAACCCTGTGTGCCAAATGAAGGGGTCCTGAATCTTTTTTTTTTTTTTTTAAAGTCCATAGTCTACTCTCGCTTTCCAAAGGAATAAAAATAACGTGCAGTCACTCCAAATTATTTGAGATGAGAACATCTTATGGGATACTCAGGAGTAAAAGGTAGTAATTTCCACTACCAAGAGCATTCCCTTTCTCCAAGGCAAATTCGCATAGGTCTAAGGAGGGAAGGAGATGGAGCAATTGTATTGGAGTGGAAGATCAACCCCTACCACCACCCAGACGGGGAGAACTCTGTTATAGTACACAAAAATTACAGGCGTTAAAACTGTTTAATGTCTCTTCTCTTAGTTCTGAGAGGGGCACTGATTACCTTGCCTTTCGTGAAGGTGAGTTTGCTGAATTCATAGAAGAAATCAGACTGATCCGAAGTTGAACTATCCTCAAATGCACTTTCTTCTTTAAGACTGATTTTGCTAAATTCCATTAGTAGAGCTCCATCTGCAGGTTTCCCACCTTCTTTTAAGTCTTTATACTTAGCAGATTCTCCTAGGTCATCCTCTTCCTCAGACAGGGCATCCTCATCCCCTGATCCTGTATATGTATTTTCTAACTCATTTTCGTTAGCCAAGTCGTCCTCATCTTCCCTTTGGGTAATGGACAGCCTGGGCTCTTCATCATCATCCTCTTCCTCCTCCTCTTCATCGGAATGAAGGATTCCTGATGTACGGCCCTCTCTGGAAGGAGTGAAGTGGCTTGGAGCATCTTCGAGGTCATCAGTACCTCCTTCTATCCCTTCTTCATCAACATCAGCCTTGTCTTCTGAAGTAGTGAATCCATCACACTCTTTGGCTGTAGGATTTTGGAAGCCTTCTAAACCCAAAGTGCTATCTGTCTCATTTTTTTGTGTGCTGCCACAGATGGCAAGCTCTCCATGTTTGCTACTCCTTAAACCCAGATCACTGGCAGTCAAAGGATGCTTACCCTCTCTCCCAATTTTACTTCCAGTTTCTTGATGGTATACTTTAACATCCTCATACTCATCACAACTGGCCCCTGCCTTGACACAGTCTGAGTTTTCCAGGTGGACACTGACATGTGCATTTCCTATTTCCTCTGTTGGGGGGCTTCCAAAGCTTTCTGCAGTCTCTTGAAGAGTACATGGCTGTACCATGCAATTGTGTGCAGCTGAACTGGCAGCACCTGGCCCTTGAGCCAAAACTGTGCTTTTGAGTTTATCATCTTTGGCCTGTGTACCCGAGTCATGCTTGGCTACTTCTTTAGAATGTTTGGAAAGACAAGTGACAGTACTCAGAGACTTTGGAAGGCTGGATTTTGTAATTTTGTGTGGAAGAGCAAAATACTTATACGTTGTCCTTAAACAATGAAGTATATATTCAAACACGGGTTGATTATTTAGAGTCCTTGCCACATTTCGCTTAACAGAGTAGGGATCTGTAACAACAAAAAATCCACCACTTCATACATTTCTATTTCACGTTTTAAAAATTAGCCTGTTATAGATCAAAACAGACAACAAACAAGCAATACTAAAATTTAGCATGAATCTTTTATGCTTTTTTAAAAACTGGGGATGGGGAAGTAAAGATGTAGTTTAAGAACAAAAAGAAATGCTTTCTTAAACGTCTGCTCTATGAAGAGAACCCATTCAGTTCAGAACCAATACCCCTTCCCTATTTTGTTCTGTGACTGTGGAGGTAAAAAAGGTGTCATCAGTGTGGCTCTTGTGCCATGGGGAAGTGAGATCTTCCCACCAGGCTCTGCTGAGTGCTCTGCCTCCCCACTCAGCCAGGCCCTGTGGTGTGTAGAGCTTACCTCCACTCTTCTGCCCTGGGAAGCCCCATCACTGAACTGGCTGGACTGAATTCAGGGGCGAGAGGGAGGCACGAGGAGGAGACACCACTTCTCTCAATCTTTTCTCCTCCCCTAGAACTCCAGCAGGTTAGGCAATTGGCCAGAAGAGCTGAGCCACAGAAACTGCAGGGGAGGGTTTAAAAATGTGAGATCCCCATGACTGCACACAGAATTTATGCAAAATGCAAAAAAACAAAAAACAAAAAAACAAAAAAACCCTCTTATGCAATATAAAGCTTGAAAAAAATCAAGCAAAAAATACAAGAATTCCATTTAGGAGGTTAAGTTATTTGAAGGAGGAGAATTAAGATTTTTAGAGGGGTTTCAACCTTCAGACTTTGCAAAGCTGAGAAGAGCTAGTCCACTTCAAGTAGTCTACAGGGCACATCAGCAAGTCTTTCATACGATGGTTTTAGTTAAATGAGCCTTCGCTAGAAAAAGTGTTTTTATGAATCAGTTTCAAATGCTACCACAGATATTACAAAAATAACGAGCCCCTCTCTCTATGAAGAGGAATCCAACAAAGAATTATTTTTCATGAGAAAAAGTATTTTCTCACCTTCGTAAAACTAAACAGCAATAAGCGAGGAAAGGACGGAATCTAAAAATCCAGCAACCAGAACAGTAAAGAGGAAAGGGGGATTCACACATCATGGGGCGGGGGGCAAGCGGGCACGACTACATAAGCGTTTTAAGTTGTAAAGCAATTTACAGAGAAAGCAAGGACTCTGCCAGTCACTGTTTAACTGTTTAACTAAGACGTTTTACTGTAGTGCTTAAAAAGCCCAGGACAAACAAATTTGGTCCCTTGGGATGACCACAGTAACACATGCAAGATTCTAACTATTTCAGCTTCTGGGGTCAGGCCTACATTACACATGGAGGCTGAAAGGAGAAGTAAAAAAGCATGCAGTTAGACTGGTACCTTAAAAAGAAAGGGAATTAAAGATAAACATTTTGAGATACCTTCAATGGCAATGCGCTTTTTGGGCCAATCCTTCAATTCGCGAGATACAGATTCTTTGACACGAATGCTTATCACTAAATCAGCTAAATTAAATTCTAAAGCATAGAATCGAAGCATTTCCACCCAGAGCTGCCCAACTGGTACTGATGGCACATGCCTGAGATCAAATATTAATGACACCTATTAAGAGAAAAGAGAAAACATACAGGTTAGTTCAGATGTCAGCACGATCTGAAAAACTAGAGATTATTCAAGCCAGTTACAAAAAAACCCTGAAAAACCTTAGCAAAAGACAGGAATTTGACAATCCATCTAGGTAAATCACATCTAGGTTGTATTTTGTTTGTGGGAAAAATGACATTTCTACCCTGCACTCCTGGATGAGAGCATGTTAAAATCTAACCATCATCATAGGAGCAGATAGGCAATTTGAGGTAACTAGGTGGCACTCTTCATTTTGAGGCCCTAAGGACAGGTGGAGAGAACCGTGCATGGATTTGCTACTCTCAGCACAGAGCTCTCCCTGGCACTGCCACTGGAGAGGGTACCTTTATACTTTATACACACGAAAATGTGCAGCAGCCAGAGGTGGAGAGCAAAGGGCAAAACACTCCTTTCATTTGCTCTGAGAAGCTACATGAGCTCACTGAATCTGCCATGGGCAACTGATTTTAAAGTCAACTCTCTCTCTCTCTTTTTTTTTAAGGTTTATTTAAGGAATCTCTATGCCCAACGTGGGGCTTGAATGCATGAACCTGAGATCAAGAGTCTCATGCTGTTAAAATTGAGCCAGCCAGGCGCCCCAAAGTCAAATAACTCTTGATATTGGAAATTAATGCCAGCTTTATGTTCACAGACTCTCGACAAACTGGAACATGCTGTGATGGAATATACTGGAAGGTGCATAGGACCTAGAACAGAAACAAAAGAGTCCAAATACTGACTGCCACTTCATAGCTTTTAACTGCTCTCTGACTTAGCCTTTTCATTCTCAGTTGGCATGATGGCACAGTGGCTGAGAGAACTGGTTTTGCAATGGGACATTAGGTTGGAAATCCATCTCTGCCATGGATTAGACGCGTATAAACCTGGCCAAGCTCTACATTGTCTAAGCCTCAGTTTCCTCATCTGAACAATGGGGATTACAGTACCCACCTCAGAGGGTTGTTGGGAGGACTGAGTGAGAGAATGTCTGTAAAGAGCTTAGCACAGTGCCTGGCACACATGTTCAAAAAATGGTCGCTATCATTATCTGCAGAGTAGGGATGATACCACCTATAACACAGGATAGTTATGAGGATTAAATGAGAAACAAGGGAAAGCACCCAGCAGGTCTGGTTGCTCTGTGTATTCTTTCACTTAGGTACAAGAAATCCATTTATCATTGAAACATGTCACAACTGTAAGATGCCCTTGAGAGGTAATCCTTCAACTCCCATATGTTACAGGAGAAAACTGAAGCCCAGAAAATTGATATGACTTGTCAAAGGTGCCACTGCTTGTCAGTGGCAGAATGAGAACAATGTCTCTCGATCCCAGTACAGTGCTCTTGTCACCACGCCATGCAATCAATCTCGACCCTGTCTAGGTCTTCATTTCTAAAGTAGTGGCATGACTAATCTCTCCAAATAGCACAAAAATGTAAACACAAATATTTACTTGGGCTTACAGCAACAGCTTTTCCTTCTCAAGTATACAAATTTGTTTCCGATCACACTTTATTATATTGAGCTTCAAAACAGGTGATATGGTATTTTATTAACCACTAAATCCTGACCACAAACATCCTGTCAAATATGATAAAGTCATCAGGTAGATTTACAAAGCAGAACTGCCTGAAAATGGAAGTGGTCTAAGTCCCAAACACTGTAGTTGAGGACGTAAGAAAACCCCTAGAAATTGAAAGCCTCATTAAATTTCACCTCTTATCCGTAAGACTTACTCAGCATCACTAAGGGCTTTTTAAACATCTCACTGAAATAACTTGATAATACAATAACATGGGACTTAAGAGATCAACATATCTACACTTATAGTACACTTAAGCTGTTTTTCTTTTAAAGTGGGGATCCCTGGGTGGCGCAGCGGTTTGGCGCCTGCCTTTGGCCCAGGGCGCGATCCTGGAGACCCGGGATCAAATCCCACATCGGGCTCCCGGTGCATGGAGCCTGCTTCTCCCTCTGCCTGTGTCTCTGCCTCTCTCTCTCTCTCTGTGACTATCATAAATAAAAAAAAAAAAAAAAAATTAAAGTAGAGAACATTTTCTTAAAAAAAAAAAAAAGGGCAGCTAACGTTTAATGTGTTTACAACACGGTTGGCACTGAGATAAGCATTCTATAAGTCAATGACCCTGAGAGAGTACCAATATCATCTCCATTTTTAAGAGAGGAAACTGGGGCCCAGGAAGATCAAGTCACTTGCCCAAGGACACACAGCCAGGAGGTGGGAGAACTGGGATATGAATTCATATATTCTGGCTCCAAAGTCTGTAGTCTTCTCCACTACTAGAACCCCAAATAGAAAACAGAAAAAAGTGGTGGTGTTCTGGTGGCAGCAGGCACTGGCACTGCCTCCCTTCTCTCTCCAGCGTTCAAGGATTCTAGAAAACACAACTGGAGAATCTATGAGTCACCACCATCCCCTCATTGTAGGCACAGACCAGAGGAGTGACAGGACTTGTGTGAATACAGCTAGGACTAGAACCCTGGTCTCAGAAGTATTTTGTGGGTATTGCTGCCACTTCATCCCAGAGAATTATGGGGAAGGTCGTGGGGTCAGGGACCATCCACCAAACTGGGACAGGTTCCTATTCTCATTTCTAGTATAATTACACAGCTCAGATTTTTGATATTTCAGTGGCAATTCTTTCCTTGTGCATAAATTTCCCTGCCTACCCCTGATGGTATGGATGAGGACTCTGAAATACATTATATGGAATAGTTATCCACTGTTACTTTAGTACTTTGAGGTGAGTTCAATTTTCTTGTATTTAAAACTCATAATACCATCGAAAACATAATGAGGATACACAGGGATTTATCTTTGAATTCTCAGCATCTTTCACAGGACCCTATATACAGAAGAAACTACATAAATAACTTGGATTCAATAACCTGAATTTTACCTTTTCTCATTGCTTGTCTATTTGAAGGACTGAACAGACTAGGAAATGAAACATCACAAAAGAGTAAAGATAGTTGATGGATGAGAGGACTGATTAACTCAACAGATACCACAACTAACAATGAAATCAGATATAAATACCAAAATTAGAAATGAGCAAGAACAGACCTGTCCCCTTTTAACAGGCACTTCTTTTGGTGCCTCTTCTTTTGCTGTGTCTGCATCCCCGGTGGCATTATCAGTGTATTCCCAGACCACAGTGTCTTTCTGAACGTCTTTAAGATGGAAGTTCCCTAGTTTGTTTAATGAGAATCCTTCAATCTAGGAAAAATTAAGACAAATACTATTATTATGAGGTAGAAAGGATTTTATATCAACCAGAGCATATTAATCCTGGAAGAAATGAAAACATAGATCACTGGAAACAAAAAAAGGTATATGGTTTATGGACTGATATATCTGTTCATTTAAAAAATACTTTTTAAAGTAAAAAACAAGGTTTTAGTTTGCATAAGAAATGGTAATTCTGTGAAATAATTCTTCAGTAAACAGTCTAAGAGAAGGTAACACAGCCTAAGCCCAAAGCCACCAGTTCTGGAGTAAAACTCCAGTGAGACTTTCTCCTGGTCTCAGGTTTCTCTAAGAACAGGTTACACTAGAACTTCCTTCAGGAGACAGTTGTGACATGAAACAATGGACATAAACCACTGACACAGCATATGGCATACGGTGAATGCTCAATGTAAGAAACTTTCTATTGATACTGTTGAAATGCCAATTACTTAGAACACAGTCTGGGCTCAAAAGGTCTAAGAAATGTGAAACAAAGTTGAACAGGTTTCTTTATGGTGCAGTGGGATTGATCACCGCCTTTTTTTTTAATATGATAAATTTATTTTTTATTGGTGTTCAGTTTACCAACATACAGAATAACACCCAGTGCTCATCCCGTCAAGTGCCCCACTCAGTGCCTGTCACCCATTCACCCCCACCCCCCGCCCTCCTCCCCCCTTCCACCACCACTAGTTCATTTCTCAGAGTTAGGAGTCTTTATGTTGTCTCCCTTTCTGATATTTCCCACACATTTCTTCTCCCTTCCCTTATATTCCCTTTACTATTATTTATATTCCCCAAATGAATGAGAACATACATGTTTGTCCTTCTCCGATTGACTTACTTCACTCAGCATAATACCCTCCAGTTCCATCCCCGTTGAAGCAAATGGTGGGTATTTGTCGTTTCTAATGGCTGAGTAATATTCCATTGTATACATAAACCACATCTTCTTTATCCATTCATCTTTCGATGGACACCGAGGCTCCTTCCACAGTTTGGCTATTGTGGACATTGCTGCTATAAACATTGGGGTGCAGGTGTCCCGGTGTTTCATTGCATCTGAATCTTTGGGGTAAATCCCTAACAGTGCAATTGCTGGTTCGTAGGGCAGATCTATTTTTAACTCTTTGAGGAACCTCCACAGTTTTCCAGAGTGGCTGCACCAGTTCACATTCCCACCAACAGTGTAAGTGGGTTCCCTTTTCTCCGCATCCTCTCCAACATTTGTGGCTTCCTGCCTTGTTAATTTTCCCCATTCTCACTGGTGTGAGGTGGTATCTCATTGTGGTTTTGATTTGTATTTCCCTGATGGCAAGTGATGCAGAGCATTTTCTCATGTGCTTGTTGGCCATGTCTATGTCTTCCTCTGTGAGATTTCTCTTCATGTCTTTTGCCCATTTCATGATTGGATTGTTTGTTTCTTTGCTGTTGAGTTTAAGAAGTTCTTTATAGATCTTGGAAACTAGCCCTTTATCTGATACGTCATTTGCAAATATCTTCTCCCATTCTGTAGGTTGTCTTTGAGTTTTTTTGACTGTATCCTTTGCTGTGGAAAAGCTTCTTATCTTGATGAAGTCCCAATAGTTCATTTTTGCTTCTGTTTCTTTTGCCTTCGTGGATGTATCTTGCAAGAAGTTACTGTGGCTGAGTTCAAAAAGCGTGTTGCCTGTGTTCTCCTCTAGGATTTTGATGGAATCTTGTCTCACATTTAGATCTTTCATCCATTTTGAGTTTATCTTTGTGTATGGTGCAAGAGAGTGGTCTAGTTTCATTCTTCTGCATGTGGATGTCCAATTTTCCCAGCACCATTTATTGAAGAGACTATCTTTCTTCCAATGGATAGTCTTTCCTCCTTTATCGAATATTAGTTGACCATAAAGTTCAGGGTCCACTTCGTCCACTTCTGGGTTCTCTATTCTGTTCCATTGATCTATGTGTCTGTTTTTGTGCCAGTACCACACTGTCTTGATGACCACAGCTTTGTAGTACAACCTGAAATCTGGCATTGTGATGCCCCCAGCTCTGGTTTTCTTTTTTAAAATTCCCCTGGCTATTCGGGGTCTTTTCGATTCCACACAAATCTTAAAATAATTTGATCACTGCCTTTAAACTGGTTAACGTACATAATGAATCATGGTGTGGGGTGTGGATATGGTATCCTAGTTCTCCACATCATATGGGATACTTCTTTGGTTTAGTACACAGAATAATCCTTCTAAAACATAAGCATTCAATTCATTCCCCTGCTCACAATGGTCTCCTTACTCAGGATAAAATTCTGAGTAAGTCCTTTCCAGGCCTTAGAAAGAAGCTAGGTAATCTGGCCCTTTGCCACTTCTCTGTCCCATCTTCTTAATACATCTTACTGGCCAGAGTGCTACTCCCTCTGCTTTGAAGGCTCCTTTCCTAATAATCATGGAGCCACACTCCCTGGCTGGCTTGTGCTTTTACTGCTCTGAGAAATCTTCGGCTACCTGCAGGCTTTAAAGATTTTTCTCCTGTTTTCTTCTGGAAATTTGATAATTTTAACTTCTACATTTAAGTCTGTGATCTGTTTTGAGTTAATTTTGGGGTATGTTGTGAGGTAAAGGATTGAGGTTCATTTTTCCCTTTGTATCTAGTTTTTCCAGAATCAACTGCTGAAGAGACTTTCCCCCAATGAAATGCTTAGGCACTTTTGTTGAAAACATTATCAATGCTTTCATCCCACAGACTTGGTATGTCTCTACATTTACTTATATTATTTAATTTTCCCAGCAGTGTTCTAGTTTTCAGGTTAGAGGTCTTGCACGTCTTTTGTTAAATTTGTTCTTAATTAGTACACGTTTTCAAGCAGCACTGTTAATGGAAATTTTCAAAACCATTTTTAAATGTTGCTAATATATAAAAATACTAGTTAGCTCCAGGAGTGGTTTTATAGTTTTCTGAGGATTTTCTATGAACCATCATGTCACCCACAATAGAGAAACTTCTACTTCTTCCTTTCAGGTTTTTATGACATTTTCTTTTCTTTCCTTATTGTAATTACCAGGACTTCCTATAAACGTTGGAAAGCAATAGTGTGTGTGTGTGTGGTGTGTGGGGGGACACATCCTTTTTTGTCCACAATGGTACGGGTAAAATGTCCGGATTCCAACATTAAGGAGGATGTTAACTATAGGCATTTTTCACAGACACGCATTTTCAGGGTGAGAAATTCCTTTCTATTTCTAGTTTATACAGATTTTTTGTTTTGTTTTCTTTTAAATCATTAAATGAATGTTGAATTTTATCTAGTGAGTTTTTTTTCCTGCATCTACTGATGATGACATGGCTTTTTTCCTTTATTATTTTTGTATACTTCCAAGTTGATTAGTTAATATTTTGCTAAGGGCTTCAGCGTCCACGCTCATGAGGGATATTGATATATAATAGCTTTCTTTTGCCTGTATCTAGTTTTGATATCAGGATAATGCTGGCCTTTTATTTCCCTTCTATTTTCTGAAAGAGCTTATGTAGTTGGCATTATTTCTTCCTTAAATGTTGACAGAATTCACTAGTAAAGCCATTTGGGCCTGGTGTTTCCTTCACTGGAAGGTCTTTAATTACAAACTCAATTTCTTCAGTGAATAAAGGGCTACTCAGGTTATTATCTTTTTTCTTGAATGCTCTTTTTGTATTTATTCTTATTTGTATAGGTCTCTTTGATCAAGGTTTTCTAATTTATTGACATAAAGTTGTTTATAATATTCACTTATTCTTTTAGTCTGTAAGATCGGGATAACCCTCCTTCATTCCTAATATTGTGTTCTCTCTTCTCTTCTCATGAATCTATCAGGGATTTATCAATATTACTGATCAAACAGTTGGCCTTGTTAATTTTCTTTGTTAGTCTATCTTCTCTTTATTGATTTTGCCCTTATCTTTATCATTCCCTTTAAGAACTTTCTTTGGGTTTGGGACACCTGGGTGGCTCACTCAGTTGACATAATTGACAAAAACTGCTATATTATATATATATATATATATATGGTATATAATCTGATGATTTGATATACATATACATTGTGTAAAATGATTAATTACTGGTTTCTGCTGAGTAGTTTGCCATCATTCAAATCATTGTTCATTTATGGAAGGTGTTTTTCTGGCTGCTTTTAAGTTTTGCTCTTTTTATTTTTGGTTTTGACTATCATGTGCTCCCCATGCCTCTCTTTGAATTTATCTTGTTTGAGGTTTCTTCACCTTACTCTATAAATTTGTCTTTTATCAAATATGGGAAGTTTCTGGCTTTTTATTTTTTTTCCTGTCCCATTCTTATTCCTCTCCTTCAGGGACTCAAATTACCTATAGGTTACATTTTCTTTTTTTTTCTTTTTTTCTTTTTTTGAAATTGTACCTAAGTCCCTGAGGTTATTTTTTTCAAACATTTTTCTTTTTCTTCTTCAGATTTCTACTCATCTGTTTTCACCTTCACTGGCTCCAATGTCACCTCCATTGTTATGTCACCCAGTAAATTTTTTATTTAAAAATAACATATTTTTCACTTCTAAAATTTCCACTTGCTTCTCTACATTTTCTCTTTCTCTAGCTGATACTTCCTATCTCTTCATTCATTGCAAGTATATTTCTTTTATCTCATGGGGGTATACTTATAATAACTGCTTTAAAGTCTTTCAGAGTTCCCACATCTAGGTCATCTTGGGTTTGGCAACCGGATTTCTTTTCCCTTTTCCCTTGAGAGTGGGTCCAGTCCTCCTACATTGAGTAATTTTAGACTGCATTCTGCATACTGTGATACCATACTGCGAAAATTCTAGATTCTTTATGTTATCCAAAACATGTTGATACTTTTGTAGGTAATTAACTTGGCTACACAAGCTGCACACTATCTCATCTCCCATAGATAGCAATTCTGACCTCAGTTCATTTTTTTTTTTAAGTCTTAGCCTTAAGCCTGTTTTTAGTCTGCTTCACATGTCTTATGGATGTGTCATTAATTTTGGAAAATTCTGTCATTATTCCAGATTATTTCTTCTGTTTCTCTTTCTTCTTCTGATACTCCCATAATTCATAAATTATAAACCTTAGTAATTGTCCTGCAGTTCTTAGGTATTTTTTTTTCATTTTTCCCCCCCTTTATACTTTTCAGTTTGGGAAGTTTCTATTGAAGAAAGCACGATCCTTTCCCCATCTGTGTTTAGTCTACTGATGAATCTGTCAAAGGCATGCTTCATATATATTATAGATTTTATTTCTATTTCCTTTTGATTCTTTCTTGGAGCTTCCATCTCTCAACTTGTATTACCCATCTGTTCTTGCATGTTGTCCATTTTCTTCTGTTCAAGCCCTTAGCATATTAATCTTAGTTGTTTTAATTTCCTGGTCTGATCATTCCAATGCTTGCTCGATCTCTCCAAGCTACATTCTTTTTGCCTCTTAGTATGACTTGTAATTTTCTTGTTGAAAGCTGGGTATTGTGCTCAGTAAAAGGAACTGAAGACAAGCATCTAATGTGAGGTTTTATTGTGCTAGGAGTTAGGCCATGTTTATGGATTGTTGTAGTGGTAGATGTTAAGAGGCTAACACTTCCTGTGATGTCCTTGTTTTTGTTTTACTTGTTGTCCTTGGGTTTCCCAAGAGATTTCTTCTGAAATCAGGTCTTTCCATTGTAATCCCATTTTATGCACGAGCCCTAAAGATGTGGTAAATTCTGGGGGGAGGGGAAATACTCTACAGTGTTATGACCAAGTCTCAGCCTTTTAGTGAGCCTGCAGCATGAAGCTGTGAGCTTGCAAAGTGCTTTTCCATCCTCCCCACTTGAGGTAAGACAGGAAGGCTCAGGAAAAGGGATGGAGTGGGTATTTTTCTTTTCCTCAGGCCAGGTAGGCCCTGGTGAAAAAAAAAAAAAAAAAGTTTCCCTTGCAGGCACGCTTTTGTTTAGGAGAACAGCATGCCCTGCGCATACTTCAAAATGGTGTCTTTTTCTCTCACCCTGCTTGAAAGCACAGGGGTGTGGAGGGTGGGTTTCCTGGGGCTAGCACCTTTGAAGTTGTTGGAAGGTTCCCTAAGACTGGGGCCCCTGCTATTTTTCACTTTCAGGCTTGTCCAGACTGAGTCTCCAGAACCACAGTCTAAGCCCTCCTACCCTGCTATTGGCTCTGTTCCTGGGCTTCTGCTCTAACAAGTTATAATCTGCTGTATTCACTTATCTCTCCAATTTTGGGGGCAGTGGCTTTCCCTGTGACCTTAATTCTTTGATGGATCTAAGAAGAGTCGTTGATTTACAGTTTGTTCAGTTTTTTTCTTCTTTGTGTGAAGACAGAGTGATGATCTCTTAGCCCTTTCCATGACAATTGGACTGGTTCAGGAGTTAGAGATGTGCTAAGTATACACACAGAGTTAAGGGTTCCACTTCTCAATATCTTTCCTCCCTGGGTTTGACCCTTTTATCTGGTAGTCCTAGTTCCTCTGGCCAGAGAGAGAGCTGGCTTTGCTATCAGAGGGGTGTGCCTTCAGGGGAAAAACCACATAAGAACAGAAACTTGCTCTCTGTTGGCCACTTGCTCCAAAGTTGGACTTCTCTCCAAAATCTGCTTGTGTTCGTTCAGTCTCCAGAGCTTTCATGTTGTTTATGGATCACTTGGTTAGGAGGTCGTGCCTCAATATCAAAAGTAGAACTTGACGCTCTATTAAGGGGGAAAAGAACTACATTTGTTCTCCTACCTTGGTTTGGGAGCTCTACATTCATGATCTCATTTCATAATTTTCCCCAGATGAGGACTCCGAGGCGCAGACAAAATAAATAACTTGCTGAAGGTCACAAGGATATGTTTAAGTGAAAAAATATGGAGGAATTGTAGGGCTAGAAAACCTTAAATTACTCTTCTCTCTACTGTATTACCTGGCGTCCCTCATGGGTAAATGACTGCTAAAGAGAAATCTATATAATCCAAAATAATACAGATTCCAAATAGTAACTACTAGGAGACTAGTAAACTACTGTTGTAGGGGATAAAAGATGCTGAGAAGACAGGGTTAAACCTCTTTATCAGTCACAACTCATATGATTGACTTTCAGTCAAATCAAAGTCTGGTAACAATTCATGGGAGTAAAAGGTCAGTGAGGGCAAGCCTCTGACATGGAAGAGGTCTGCATAGGTTAGGAGAGAATGGCTCAAGAATTTCTGGAGAGACAGACTAGGTAGGATACAGAGGCATTAAATCCTAAACTTCTTGCCTGGGAATTTTGTTTTATTCATCTGTGTATTCCCCTCCTGCCAAAGTACAATGAGAAAACTACACCAGTGCTTTAAAGATTTTTGAAGGAATTAACAGTTTGGATACTTTTATAAACATAATTTTGAACTCTTCAATGGGTCTTCTATAGAAATAACGATATAAAATTTCTGGCACCAATAAGGTACTGAATTTAATTTCTTTTCCCGCATTTGCTTTACATTTCTGACTCTAGCAGAATCCTCTAGCATTGGTAAGATTTTAGCATTGATCCCTGATTAGTTTAAAACAGCGAAAACTAGATCATTTTGGTTAAGGCAGTAGAATGTGCCTTCCTGATCACAGAACTGAATACATTTTTGGCCACCACATACCTGTTTCTGTCATTAAATCTTAAATGAACAAACGGTATAATCAAAAGCAAATTCAATGTCACTTTGGAGAATATCCAGTGTCACTGCCTAGAATATACCAGCCATAGAATAGGGTATTCATATCACTGTCCTTAGGCGAATCCTGAGGAGAATCACTTCACCAGAATAGAAACATCTTTTCCTGTATCCTCACATAGTGACGGTGACTACTCAGAGGTGACCAGGACTTCAGAAAGGGCAGATCTCACTAACACAACAGTGAGTATGGGAACACATACAATGTGTCTACGGGCCCTCTTGGACGCAGGAGTCTACCTGGTTTGATTCTATCCTAAACTCCTGTCTTTATTAAAGTGAAAGGAAAACCTTAAAGATCTTCACAAGTTCCCCTTTGGGTCTTATGGAAAGGGTTATCAGCTAAGGGCTGACTCTGTTCTCTCTTCTCTCCACGAGGAGAGCAGAGCGAGGGGAGAGGTTTAGCAGACACCTGCTGGGACCCTGCATTATTTCATTTCAGTACCAAAAGCACAAAGAGAGTGGCCTTCAGGCCAGTGGGATGTACAGTGGACTATGATTCCTCTGCCAGGGCAGAGTTCACAAAGGGCTTATTCTCCTTTAGTTTTTGTTCCTAGGACCCAGTAGATAAAGGTCCTTGATCAATTCTCAATATACTAAGTACAAAGAAAAAAATTTTTCCTGTAGTCATATATTTTTGTTATGTACCCCTAGTTAAGAGCTACTGCTATAGAACATCTCCTCCTTAAATGATGAGAATTCTACATACAGTAATAAGAAAGGTAAGGTTACCAAATATGTCCAAATAAGCTTTTCACCAACACTTATACAATAAGTGTTCATATAAGATTTTTATCAAAATAAATACCTAGGATTTAAAAGTGAAGTTTCCAAGAGGATGAAAAGAGTATCATTTTGACTTTGAGATGGAGACTTCCTCAATCCTACTATTTGACTAAACCAACTTTAATTTATGCAGAAAAAAAATAGTGGTCACATTACTGAATTCTAAATCATCTTAAACACCAAAATATTCAAGAGGCGATGACAATATTCTGCATCGTAAAGTATAACTAACAATCTCAATACTTCTATTTTCTTTGGTTTTGCAGGGAATAGGGAATGCAGAGAGCTAAAAGACTAGAAACAGGAAATTACAGAACCAATGTAGTCTATCTGGAGGTGATCTGTAAATTTAAGTATTAGTTATACCAAAAGGAAGCATGTACCAAAGGATACATTTAATTTAGGTTCACATCTTGTTTTAAACCCTCAGGATCATATGAATTTTGCAAATTAAGAGCTTTTTCAGTTTAGAAAAATAATCCTATCCCTAGAGTATCCCAAAAGTATATGCCAGCATTTTGTAGTCAAGTACACTAATATTTCAGCAGTGAGAGGCATGAATATTCACATTAGTAGGATAAATAAATTAATGTCCATTCTGATTAGGTTTCTAGATTTTGAAATTACACATAAACAATTGTGGCCCTGAAATAAAATCAGTATCAGATATATAAGCAAAAAAGGTTTTATACCCATGATCCTAGGTAAACAGGCAGAAGGGGTTCTTTCCTCTGTTGAAGAAAGAAAATGGCCATCAGGGCAAACACATAAGGTGGCAAACCTCCTTCTTCAGGGTGATCTATACTGCAAAGCTACAAATAAGAGAAAAAAGTAAGTATTATTTTGTACCAATCTATCATTCACACAATTTGGTCTAAAACATAAAACACAAGTGACCAAAAATAAGACTTTCTTAAACTTCTGGAGCAACCACATATTTGTGATGCTGAGTGGCAAACTCAATTTCAAAGTTTTCATCTTGTAACTAGTTTTTTCTTTCCTTTTCTTTTCTTTTCTTTTCTCTCTCTCTCTCTCTCTCTCTCTCTCTCTCTCTCTCTCTCTCTCTCCCTCTCTCTTTCTTTCGATATCCACGGCAAATCTGCTCTCTTGGTTAAAACGCTTGTTAGTGAAATAGAAATAATGATTCAATCCCAAGTGCAAACTAACTGGCTCTGCTCAGTTTAATGGTCCCCTCATCTGAACCTACTGCCTTGAAAATTCATGCTTTGCTCAGGAACGTGACTGGGGAGAAAATGTAGGCAAACTCATTGGCACTAACCAGAATAACAATTTAAAAAGCATAGCCTACTTCATGATGAAGCAGGAAGCAACTTTTAAAGGACCGTATATTGTAATTATCAATTCACCCAGTAAAGAGAGGCGCAGTCCTTTGTTCATCCTGGGCCTGAGCAATAGGAACCACATATTGTTACTGCCATTTCTTAATCAGTAAAGCTTTAGCTTTTCTCTATAAAGCACTCAGGCAGAATCTCAAGTTTATAATCATGATGGGACCTTAAGTTTTAAGGGAATACTAAACACTCTAACAAATACTAAAATATATTTAAAGCACATAGAAATGTAAGCATGACCAGAGACTGGCTTCCATTTTTGGAGTCTCCGCATACATGGTTGGAAATGGTATGAGAAACTTTATCTCAAACTTTCCTGTGCCTAACAAGCACCTTGGGAAACTAGTTAGAATGTAAATTCTTGGGGCATGTCCTACATTTGACCCATAAATCTGATTTTTAATAAGCACTATAAATGATTTTGATCTTTTTAGCAATACTGTCCCAGTGAAATAGAGCCCTAAATTTTCTTTTCTGTAGACGTTAAAATTTCTGTTCTAATACTCAGATGCCTACTCTCTTCCTGCCTATAAATACGCATCCAAACGTTTAAGATTAACCATGCAAAGATCGAAGCACATTGTTTATGCATATGTAGAATATGCTCATGCACTTAAAGAACTCAAACTTACCTTTGCCCAGTACCTAAAGGCAATCACCAAAGGAACCAGCTTTGATTCAAGTTTGCCAAGGGCAGTTAAATGGTTTGTTGTCAAACAAGCATTTTCATTTCCTGCACTCACTTTACAAAGAAGACCACTGGTATGGTAAGGGATGAGGATGAAAAAGAAAAAGATAAAGAAGCATTACACAGGTATCAGGTACCTTTTACACGGACAATAACTAATATGCACTGACAGTAAGTATCTTCAAAATGAAAATTAAAAACTCACTAAATCTTTATGGGTTATTTAGGTCACTGCACTAAGAAAAAGACGGTAGCTATTCTCTGAGCAAACTTTGTTTTTCAGAACTAAAATTCTGTATTTTCATACATTAAAACTATTTCTGGAGGGGGAATGAAAATTAGGAAAATACTGTAAAAAGTTTCAAACGGGAGTAAGAATTTATCTTTGTAAAAGAGTGTTTTCCCAAGAGTTGGAGGAATCTGCCTAATGAAGAATCATTACAGCCTACAAACCACCCATTTACTGTGGTGATGATAATGCTTCCAGATGGAGGAAGAGACACATGGGGGAAGTCACACTAATTGTTATTCAGCACTGCTAAAAATGCTGCTAAAAAGGATGGCAAAGTAAGGTGGCTACAGCAAGTAACCATTCAATAAAGTTGTTTTTTGCTAGAATGAAATGGGTCAAAATGCTTCCTTCCTCTGCTCTTTCCTTTCAAATAATTTGATTCTTTTTAAAATAAAACACTTTCTCCTCTTGCATCAAATGCCCAAAGCATAGAGAGAATGCTACTAGTGAACCTGTGAAATTAACCACATAAAGAGCTTGTTATTCTAGAAATTGTGGACATTGGAATGTAATATAAAGTACATGTGCTCTTGGCAAGTTTCTATTTAATATATAAACAGCTTAAAGAATCGGAGACCTTTGCTTTTCTTTGCACACCACCACTGGCACCCTAGCATGGAAGTCTGCATCAACATCAATAAAAGACTCTGAGAAGAGAAGAAAAAATATTAAGTAGGTTAATTAAACTTCTGTTTAAAAGTAGAACTAGATAAAGCACAAGTTGTGACTTAATCTGGCCTTTTGAAAGAGGATTACAAAATAAAACTCTGAGACGACTTGAGAAGGGAAACAGTATTATGTACAATAATCAAGTAACCACATGAATTTAAAACCCTTATTTTGGATAACTCATGTTTGATTAGAAATGACTACATTATTGAATCAGAATATTTAAGTGCTATGTAGATAAGGTAATTAGAAATGTGAATAGGATATATTCAAAAACAAAACTGTTACAAAAGCCACTAAAATATCTGGGCTTAAAATACATATTGACCAAAGTAAGAAGAAATATTTGAATTTGAAATATTTGAATCAACCCAAACAAGAAGGATGTGAAAGACTAATACCTGGGACGAGACTGTTTAATGAGGTATATGGAAAACATAAAAAGTCTTTTGAGTCCTAAGCTGGACATTACTTTGGACAACTGATGACCCTAACCAGTAGCAAGCAATTGGTGATTTATTAATCAGGGTTGGGTCACACCCCTTTACTGACTGTAAGGTATTTAAACCACAGAATGGTTTCTGTCTGGATATTACCCACAGAAATAATTAAAAGACACATGTCATTCTATTTTCAACATTTGACAAATTAAGATATCTAAATTATAGACAAAAAAAAAAAATTAAGAGAAAAACGTGGGAAGAATGTGGCCTTACCGCTATTCTTTAAACATTCTTGAACAAGTAAGAGAACATCTGGCTGAGACATCTAGGAAACAAATCAATAAATATATCACTAATACAAAAGGACTGTTGTTTCACTGAGAGAATAATACAGTATATTCAGTAATAATACAGTAATCTGAAATTATCCAAAGTCCTTTCCAAATTAGAACGCACACTGCCGCCCCAGTAAATAAATTAATCATTATGCTATGTGCACACATCAGTCAGAGACAGAGATGAGTGCCAAATGAGGGCAAGAGACCTGTCACACAGTTAGCTCCTGATTAATGAATTCCTGGGGTAATCATCAGCCTCTCCACAAATCTCCAAGATGCGAAACTGTTAATGTCTCCTTTCATTCTATAAGACTACTTCAACAAACTGCTTGCTGGTCTCCACTTCAGCCTTGCCTCTCTCCAATCCTTGCTCCCTGTAGGAACTATAAACCATATAACCTCATCAATCAGACCTAGTCATGACCCTCCTTAAAACCCTCAATGGCTTTCTACTGCCCTTAGGTCACAGTAAAACTCTTTCCCAAGGCCCACAGATCCTGCATGTTGGGCCCTCTGTCCTAATCTTAATGTTGCTTCTTTCTCTTGGTCCCTCCATCATGGCTATATAATCATCCATTCAGCTCCTTGAACAGGCCAAGCTCCACAGGGGATTTGTATGTTTGCAAACACTGCTCCCTCTGCCTGAAACACTCACCCTTTCACTTCCCTACTCCTTTTCATCGTTTAGAGCCTAGTGTCAATGTCATCGCTTCATGACCACTGGATCTATACATCCCCGGTTCTTTTCTGTCACAGAACCTTGTTTCCCTGCATAGCTCTCATTATAATTAATCACATACATGTAATTACTTATCTTTTCCACTAAGTATGATTTAGATGAGGGAAGAATCCTAGCTGTTTTGTCCTCTGGGATCTAGGATAGTGCCTGGCATACAACATAGACTCAGTGAGTATTTGCCAAGTGAATAACAACACCAAAATGACTGCTGTGCTGATAAATTACTAATCAGAATTTAAGGTTAAAAGATGTGTAAACTCTACTGATCAGCTGGCCACAGAGCTGCAGCAGTCAGGGATGGCAAGGAATGAGAGGCTATACAACAGAACACCTGGAGGTGATGCCCAGGAATGTTCTTTATTATTTTTAACTAGCAACCCAGGTAAATGGGTATAAACCACCAGCGGTTGAACAGACAATCTCCTTCCAAATTCAAAATTCTGACTCATCCACATCTTTTTCAATCACATTTAAACCAGAAATCCAGGCTAGGTGTGGTTCTTCAAAAGCATAATTATTTTGACAAAGTAGGTGCATAAAAGTGGAAATTTAGGAACAAGTTGAGCTTTCAGGTCACAAATGTTTCCATGTCCAGACTGCTTAAAACCTGAAATTCTTTTCTGACACTGGAAAGTTGACTTTACCAAGATAATTTAATCCTCTCATGTTAACAGAACCTAAAAAGCCTCATTAGAGTCACATAGTTAGAATACCAGTATTTGAAGTAAGTATGAAAGATCTGCAGAGTAAAAGAAGTACAGAAATCTGTACAATATTAAAAGAAATGCTCTAAAATCAAAGGTAAGACAGCGCTCTGAAAATTCCAACATTTTGTACTTACAATGGCTGGAAATTGAATGTCGATGTTTACATCAGAATTTTTGAAACCCAATCTGCTACAGGATGACCCATATAATCTGAGAGAACAATCTGAAAAAAAATTAAGTCACAAATAAAGTGAAATTTCTCCAAAGTCATAACAAAACACTGCTATTTCAGAAATGGAACCATCAATTAAATTTACACATGAAAGTAAGACAGAATTCAAGTCTGGCATAAACAAATGAATGAGGAATGGTTGACTCTTTGCTCTTGTCTTCATTTTATCCTCTGTAACAGGGAAGGCTGTATTATCTGCAGTTCAGCTTCACAACTACTGTTTCATGTCAATTATAAAACACATTTTTAAATAATTCTAATTTATTATTTTATATTTTGTGCAGAAAATTCTATTTGCAAGGATTTTTACAATGTGAAAGACAAAAACAGATGCCTAACTTTATCTTATATTTATAAACCTGATCGTATACTAAAGAGTTAATACAAACATTTCACCTTTTAGAAAACATACACAGGTATAATATACTATAAAGATCATGTTTCAATAAAATAATCATAAAAATGACCTTCAGCATAAAGTTACTTTTCAGCATGATTATGAACAAAATAACCCTTAACATAATACATACTCTTAGGGAAACTTTTGAAAAGTAATCATAATTTCACTGATATAACTTAAAATGCTAGGCAATAAGCGATTCATTCTTCAGAGGAAGACATATGTGTGGGTGTGTATGTGTGTATACTGCCTACATTTATTTATGGCATTTACCCCTCAATGTTTTCCTACTACTATGCCAAAAAATTATCTCCTTCCCGTCAGGGGATTTTGTGGGATTTTACAGGTTTGTTAAGTCAAGTGATTTCTTTGAGTTTTAGCAGTTTCCCACGACAAAGTACATTCAATTTTACAATGGAAATCTACAGCAAAAATCACTGACATGAAAAATGTCTTTCTGGGAACTTGTCTACAACACAAAGGATGAGATACAGATAAAATGAAATGAAAAGATTCTTGCCTTTTATTTTTATGAAAGGTATACAAATATGAACACATGCTATATTAATGCTTTTCCAGTAGAACAAAGAGTTCTATGGGAGATATGGCAATAAATAGTGATTCTAACCCTAACTGCAGCTTAGAATCACTTGTGGAGCTTTCTAAAAAATAGTTTTCTGTGACTCCACAGACATAACTTGGAAAATTAATCAACAGGACACAAACTCTATTATAAATAGTTTTCAGAGCTCATTTTAGGTGTTACAATTCCTTTTAAAAGTGGTTAAACAGAACTTTTTTTGGACAGATAACCTAGAAATGATTCAAATATACTTTTTAACTTAAAATATTGCGTCAATTTAGTTGGTAGCAAGGTAAACAAGAAGATAGACAAGGGTCCCACAGTGCCCCCATAGTAAGTACATGTCCAGGAAAATTGATAATGAAGACAGGTTTAATGACAGTGCATGTAAAAGTCTTTGTTACCTTGGGGGAAAGCCAGAAGAAACAAAAACACACAAAAAATTAAGAACTTCAGGACATGGCAAATCAAATTCTATTCGATGAAAATTACTACTGGTCAGAAAAATGCATGAGGCACTTTTAGGTAGCTAAAGAGAAAAACAAATCTAGAAAATACCTGGTAACTTGTGTTGGAACACATTTTCCATGATACGTTTAATTTCTAGTCTCTGTTCCAAGTTCTCATTGTGTAAGCCAAACTCCTGTACCACTTTGTCAATGGCAATACCAATTGCATTTATCTGGGAGGGTGTAGGCGGGGGTAACGTAGTGAGCAACTCTTCCTCTTGCTTCTCCTTTTAAGATCAATATTGAGATTAAAAATGACTCACACAGTTTTTACCTTCTACCATTCACTGAGACAACACCCTGTAGAATATTCTGGAATATTTTTCTTAGCTCTCCCTCTCACTTTAGCTATGTTAGTCTTCAGATCATCAAACATATATACTTCTTTATGCACATAAAGTGATAATAGAAGACAGGGATAAGGAAAAAATGCAGGGAAAGAACATTAAAAGCAGCAATGACAAATCACTTGCTTTATTATTATTGGCATAAGGGCATATACCGAGGTCCTATCAATGACTTCATTCACCCTGGTACTGTTCCTAAAGAAATTCACAAGACTGTCTTGCAAAACATGTCTGGCCAATGTAAAGTATTTTAGCTAAAATAAATTCAGTAATATAAGTACTAAAGTTATTAATATCATAGCCTTAAAGAGAGGAAAGTCGTAAAGATGGCAAGTAAAAACAACTGACAGATTTGTTTGAGTTACATTAAACTTACCTTAATGTTTTTCTTGTGTCTCTTCTCTTTGATATGCTTATGGGCAAATGCAATGGATTCAATTAAAACATCACAAAGTTTGCAGGTGTACTTAGCTGTAGGGTAGTTTCTTGGTCGCTATAATTTAAAGAGATTTAGAGAGATACGTGTATCTTCCAAAATACAGGCAAACAGATATTAGCCAGAAATTATTTCCCCATCGCTTCAAAAACTGTTAACATATTATTGTCACTTTTTACCACTATCCTAATAGTCATTTTTTGGAAGTGATTCTATTAAATCAAACTGAGTATCACTTTTAACTCGGTGCTTAAAAGATATCTGTGGTAGAGTACCTAATTCACCAAAGCACACATTCCCAATTACTAGCATAGTTTAAACCAACACAAGGGTTTTAAGTAACAAATAAAAGACATTACCCTTTTTAGCCTGTCGATGAAGTCTCTTTTTAATCGCTCCTCTGCCTGCTGTAAGCCCAGGAGCTCCTTCGTCGAAAGCACAGACTCGTCTATCACGGGGCCTTCCAAGTCTCCGTCCTGCTCATTTTCCTCATTTCTAGTCCTACGTGGCTTCCGAGGTCTGGACCTCTGCTTCTTGTTTTCTTAAGTCGGGGGAAAATATTATGGGCAATATTGAGCAATACCACTCTGACAAAAAATCAGACCGTACAATTTTATTCATATGTATTTATTCACTAAATAATGTGATAACCCGAATGACATCTGAACACAGCAAAAGGAAAGCTCTCCCATGGATAAAATGGGAGAATCCTCATTAACCACCTAATCTGGAAACATCAATCCACAGAAATCCTCTTTTGGGAACACTGGAAAAGAATTTGCTTCAACCATACAATGTGATTTTATCATTTCTTCCCAGTATACTCCTGAATATACTCAAGCAATAGTAAAAATTATCCTCTGAAGGCAAGTGTACCTGTAATTCTAATATGCCTAATATGTCATAATATACTATGTTAATGTATCTAATATATTCTTGTATACCTATAAGTATATCTGTTATTCTAATGAAAACTATCCACATTTGCTTTCATTTTTTTTAAGTGAACAGAGCAAGATGGACAATATGATCTTCAAAGGACTAAGAAATCAACTACATTCTCATGTGGAATGAATATTCATCATTTAGTTGTAAATTTAGCTTTCAGGTAACGGGGCCCTCCCCCAACACTGATACAAGAAGTCTAAGCCAAAATTTTATTTCCTGAGGACAATTAGTTCCCATCTTATCTTTACTTTCATTTTAGTTTCTTTGAACAGTCTGCTCAATAAGCACATTTCAAAGAAAAAAGGTCATTAGTTGAAATAAGTTTTCTACAAGTACAGACTAATTCATTAAACTCTGCTGTTAGTTCTCCAATCTTTGTAACTAATAAACCGATCTCTTCCCTTTTAAACTTACAATTTTTCTACCTGTGTAACTGAAGATGTCTGAGGGACCTAGCTATTAAAATAAGTTGTTTTATATAGCTTTGATAACTTCAATCAAGCTCTGAATATTACCCCTTAGGTAATACATATGGTCAAAATAAATCTCATTTCCCCAATTAAATTGTGATAAATGGTTTGAATAATATTTAAATGGCTTATCAAAAGTTAATCTTTCAAAACATAAACCTACTGAAAAGTCCTGCATGAGGCAATTCCCATGTCAAGTTTTCAGTGGAACTCACTCATTTCTTGGACAGCAGTCAGAATGAATCAGTTGACTGAAAAAAATTCCAAGCCAGAAAAAGGAGGTAGGTATAAGATCACTAATTTGCAAAAAGCTGTTGCCAACACCTCCAACGGGAAAGGAGTAAGCATTGTGCTCAAAGTACCATAAGATGAATATATAATGAAATTCTGTAAACAGCTTCTATAAGTGGTAATTAAAATAAAGTATTACGTCAAATAGTTTTTTTTAAGCAATCAAAATGGACCAAATAAAATACTAAAAGATAAAGTAGTCCCTTGCAGAGAAAAATCAGTCTACTTTAATATTTGCTTTTTAACACTCTCCTATTCCCAATGAAATTATCACGATCTTTTAAGGACAGCACTCTCCACTGGCATCAACTTCTGAGATAAGCACTTCTTTTAACTTAAGAGGTGTGTCTGTGTTCATTTAATTTGCATATCTCTACAAGTTCTACCCTAAATAGTTATATCTGATTTCAGTGTTCATAGCAAGTTTCTTACTTTGGCAAATAATCATTAGGATTTACACGAATATGTGCAATATCCATTGAAAAGTCCATATTAGTTCACAAAACAATAACTGATGTGGAACCAAATCTCTTTTTTAACTGCTCTCTAATCACAAAAGCTTTTCATATAACTGTCTGCTGTCATCTTCCTGAGTGACTTCAGTTTACCTCCAAAGAGCATGATTAACTCCTTGTTTTTTCTTTTTAAAGATTTCATTCTTAAGTAATCTCTACACACAACACGGGGCTCACACTCACAGCCCCAGAGATGAATAGTCACACGCTCCAGTGAGCCAACCAGGTGCCCCATTCCTTATTGTTTTTATAAAAAGAAGTGGATGACTGCAGAAATTCTGTGTGATGACAATGACAGCAGCTGTCATTACTGAGTATTTTTTATGCAACAGGTGCAATGCAAGTACCTTATGTGCATTGCCTTGGTTAATACCTATTGTGATCCTCTCATAGATGCTCAGATTATTCCCACTGTACAGATGGGGAAAATGCTGGCCCAGGGAAAGAACTTGCTCAGGAACACATGACTAAGTCAAAGTAATGGGTTTTGAAATAAAGATAAAAAAACATGGATGGAATTCTGAAATTCAGCCTTTTATCTAACAATATAGGAACTGGAAAGAACTTACTGAAATTCCGCTTTGTTGCATATCCATTCACATCTAGAATGGACCATGAGTTTCATAGGACTGCATGGTAAAGAGAGTCAAATATAATCTCATTGAAGGGAATCTTGAAAGACAACACAGGGTATTGCTAAAAAGTTCCCACAATTACATAGAGGAAGACTACCTGGCTCATCGCAGGTGTCTTGTAACATGAATTCTCTATATACAGTATTCCAAGTCTCCCATATTTTATTTGCACATGGCCCATTATTCCATTCACAAAGGACATGTGTATTTGAGTGGATATTTTCCAGCTAAGATCACTAATGGCATTGTCCCAAATACATTAAACTGGCAATCTAGGATATTTGAGGGATGAAGTACAGGGCGGTAACGTAGAACTGAAAAATAGAAAATAAGTATTAAAGAACAAAGCAACTCTAAGATAATTTTTACTATGTTTTCTCACATCATTTAATGAGACTCTTCTTATTAAGACAGAATTCCAATTCAAGGAAAATTTCAGTCCCTTTAATGAGATCCTTTCAGGATCCTGAGTGCAGTGCAAAGTTTATATTTCAAATTGAATTTCTATCTACAGTAAGTAATTTTATATCAAAGTTTAAGATTTCCCTTATGAAGATTTTTTTCAAGTGCTAGAAGCTGAACAGTCCTTCATCTAGCAACTGTGAAAGCACACACTTATTTTTCATATAGTAAGAACAGAGGGGTTTTTGGATTGCCTTCAATTAAAAGGACAGTAAAAATGTATGTACTTCCTTTTCAAAACCACTTAAGAGCAACTTTTTAAGCTGCTTTTCAGACTAAACAAGAATACATACATAAGAAGTCTTTGGTCTGTTAACAGTTCCTATTAATGTCTGCCTGGTTGCAAACTTTTATTCTATAAGCCTTTGTTTTTACAATGCTACTCAAGACCAACTTTTTCTTTTAAAAGACTATTGTTAACTGAATTAAGATATTCATGTCCTACCTGGACACAGTAATATAGAAATATTCAAATATTCACAAACTTTAAAAAAGAAAAACATCAATCAAAAGCTGAGAAGTCTTCAAAATGTGTTGGGTTCCCTCTGTCAGACTCAAGGTCCAGTGAGGCTGAGTTAATGACCAAAGAAGCATAGCACTCAATTTCAGTTCCACTTCCTCATCCACCACCCCACAAAAACAAGTCTCAATAAATTTAACCTCACCAAGCCACAGCTGCCTGCTTTGCAAAACTGTGATTCTGCCCTGATGACAACAGCACTACATCAGACAATTCCTTCACTTTCTAGCTTTAAGATTGATGAAGCCAAGATTTTCTCTCTCCTGGAATTCCTTTTTAACACCTCATTCTGTTTCTGCTATTTGATACAAGGCATTTTCTCTTGCTTTTCCCATCTTAAAAAATATAAAACAGCACTTTTTCTCTCATTTAATACTATCATAAAACCCCTTAAAGATAACAAATGCCGTTTTCTCTGCTAAGTATTCTAAATGTTCAGGTACGAGTTCAAATGCCTTACCAATAACATGCTTAAATGTAAACTGTGCATTGTGAGATAATGCAAAAGAAAAGGGCTTCTATAAGCCTTAAAGTGCTGGCCAATTTGCCACCCATTCTATATGGTCACTAAAAAAGGTTTGCAGTCAATATATTTAAAAGCCCATTTTTCCAAGCATAATTTGCATTTTCAGACTAGTTTTACTTTTTTCCTTCATATTTATGTTTATTTCATTTCAGCAATTACCGTCCATTAATTTTCCTGTTTATAGAAATCATTGCTACATGGAAAAATCTATTCACCTTTTAGAAAAAGGTATAACCACCTTGGAGCAATTATTATCAAGCACAGAGGGCACTTAGAAATGGGTTTTGGTGCTACAGAAACTAAAAGGCAAAACTTTTATCTGTATTTCTAACTTTCAAAACTTAGCATGTCCCAGCCCTTTTACCATGCTCACTTTTCAGGGAAAAAAAAAAAAAAAATCTGGGAGATTCATGCTCCAGCCAAAAGACATATAACCCTCTGTGACAGGAAATATATACAATCTATATTGTGTATTTACATTGAATAATTTTTTTTTAGCTTTATATTCTGTCATTTATATTATGGACACATTCACCATTCAAATACAAAATTACAATACATAATTTAGAATATACAGACATACCACTCAGAAAATATGATATAGTCCCCATGGGGAATATAATCACCCTCTTTTGTAAAAAGCATCAGTGGGAAACGTTTACTGACATAAAATGATCCTCATAGCAACTTTTAAAGGGACCAATACATACAATGTGTTGAAGTTGCCCAAATACCATGATTACAATTTTTAAAGTATTCACATTAAATAAGCAGGAACTATGAAAGATCAGAACTGGAATGCTGAAAATAATAAACCTCATTTGGATGAAAAAGACATTGCGACTTTGGGGTTGTAACTTGACAAGTTGGAACACATTACCAGGGCTTCCCGCTTCCATTTCTGACATGGTTTCTAGGCTTGTCAAGTCTTTATGAAATAGCCGTCTTACAGTTCTGCAGCCTCTTCCATCTTGCCACCTATATCCATCCTCACTTTCTTGAAAGGAGTCTTTTCTTGGTCGGTTTATAACAGGAATTCTAGGTCCAGGTTTGAATTCCCTCCAAGTGTCTGAATTACCAGCAAGTTCATCAGAGAGCCATCTCTTACTCTGATCTTTGTGGTTCTCATTTATCCAAGCAGGTTGACTGTAAATTGGGTTTTTAAACGCATAGGGATTGCTGGAAACAGCATATGGTCCTTTTCTGGGGGTATGCCCATAGTTCCCTGGTGTTATTTTTTTTTTTGGAAGGCCCTTTTCCATTTTACTGCTATGGCCTTTAGCATAATCATCCATTATTAAATAATCTTGTTGGGGGTGACCCCTTCTGAAATCCTCATCATCTATACTCCCTCGGTCTTTCGTGCGTCTCACAAAATAAGGTTTTGCAGCATCTCCCATGGTCTTTGACTTCAATTTTCTTACTCTGCACCTGAAAGAAGGCATTTTGGGAAATCATCAAACTATAACAGGATACCGTACCAAGCACATGAAATACCACACGTTTACTGCAGATGTTCAAAAGCCTATAGAAACTGTTCCTTTCCTGGTGTCCATCCCATTCTAATCATCAGCGCGTTACACTAGAAGTCGGGAGGCTCGAGTCCTATAATATTCTCCGAGAAAATCAGTACGTACTACTTAGCATGACGATTACATCTGTGCCTAAGGGAAGCTCCTTACAGTCTCGAGAACTGCAGCATTAAAAAAATGTTACTCCCATGAAGTTGGTTGGCTTTACCTATAAACCAAAAGCGCCTCTCCACAACACAAAACCAAACCCTCATCCCAAGCCGATGTTGTTTGAAAACTCCGGAAACGGTCTTAAAAAAAAAAAAAAAAAAAAAAGTTGGCAATTACTTTTACGTGTTGTACAAAGTAACCGAAACTTTCTGTGAACGTCGCTCCTCTCCTCGCGGCCCCACTTCTCTGTCCCTTCTGCGTCCTTCAGGGAAGGGTCTCGGCGCCCCGTCCCCAGCGTCCAGAGCCACAGGCTGCTGCGGTCGCTGAGGCCGGGCAGGGGCCCGCGCCCCACCAGGGCTCCCCCTCGTCTAAGGGCTGGGCTTCCCACCGAGAGACCACTCCAGCCGCCCTCCTCCGTCCTCATCCTCTAGCCCCACACAAGTTTGGTTTGGCCGCGGACGGCATTTCTCCCTCTCCGACCCCGGTCTGCCCGCCCCGCCCCCGATCTGCCTCAGTTTCCAGCCTTGGGGACCCGAGGCAGAGGAGGAGGAGGAGGCGTCCCCGCACTCCCGGCCGCGAAACCACCTCGGGGATCAGGAAGCAGGAAGTGACCTGCGTCCTCGATGGGGTTCCGGGGTCCCCCCGGCCGGCCGGGGGCCGGGGGCCGGGCCCGAGCGCCTCCACCCAAGTCCCTCCTTCTCCGGCGTCCGCAGGGTCCGACACAAAGTGAAGGTGCGGACTCGAACCGAGAGCTCAGCGCCCGCCGGCCTGGGGGCTCCCGGGTCCGCGCAACCGGGGCGCGGAGGCCGGCGAGGGACGGAGCCAACGTTTCTCCCGGGCCGGGCCCGACCTCTACTCCGGAGACCAGGGAGCCCCCCGGAGGCCCACCGCGGAGGCGAGTCTGGGAGGGACGCGGGGAGAAGGCGCCCCGGAGCACTCACCACCTCCGCCGCGGTCCCCCGCCTCTTCCTGTCCCGGCCGGGCTCCCTCTCCGTGTTTTCCTTCGGCCCCACTTCCGGCGCTCAGCGCTGTCTCATTGTGCGCGATTCGGGGCCGGCGGTCCCCCGCCCGAGCGCTCCGCCGCGCACGCCGGAAACGCGCGCCGCGCCCGCAGGGCCGCCCGACGCCCCGCCCCCGCCCGCCCGACGCCCCGCCCCCGCCCGCCCGACGCCCCGCCCCCGCCCGCCCGACGCCCCGCCCCGCCCCGCCCCGCCCCGCTGGCTTCCGCAGCCGCGCGCCGGCAGGGCGCTGGAGCCCTGTCTGCCCCGGGAACCCGGCTCGGTCTCTCGTCTCCTCGCCGGGGCCGGCCTCGCCCAGGCCCCCGGGGACTCCGAGGCCTTGAAGGCCCCGGGGAGGCGCGAGGAGCACGCCCCTGGCTCTCCGCGGGGAGGCGCGGTGGGCTCGGACGCCGGGCGGCGCGGCCTTGCCCCAGGATGCCCAGGATGCCCTGGATGCCCCTGGACGCCCTCGGGGGCGACCAGGGCCAGTGCGGCCTGGAGCTGAGGCCTCGTGGCGCCCTTGCGGCTTTCCGACAAGTCCGAGTGACCTAAAGACCCAGCGAGGCCCTGCTTGCCTGCGCTCTGGAGACGTCGGAGTCTGAGCATCCGCCGTCCACCCACATCTCAGGGTGGTCCAGGCACAGGCGCTGCTTTTTTCTTAGTTTCTGCACGGATTCGTTCACTCAACAAAACAAAACCGTGTTTTCAAGGATATGTGTCATCGCAGAGGATGATCCTGGAGAGTCACACTCGAATTTTTGAACGAAGGAGGCGCACCTGGAGCTTGCCAACGAACGACTTGGGGCTCCCTTTCTTTTCTTCTTTGGACCGTGTTACCTTCCTAGCTGTCTTGTTCTAAATGCTCTGAAGACCTCGAAAAATTAATAAAATCAAGGACCATTGAGAAAGTGTGACAGTCTTGTTTCTTGCGTTTTAAGAGCATTAAATTTAAATCCGTGAGAGTACGTGGAGCATTGGTCTTTCATAATGGACACATGCGTGCTGGGCGTAGCCAGGCTGTGTCCTGAGGGCTTTACAGATGCAACTCTAATGTTCACGACAAATCCTCTAGGAAAATATCATTATACCCGTTTTAAAGAAGGGGAAGTAGCATTTACCGTAAAGTAAATGGCACTGCTGGAAACCAAATTTTAGCGAAGCAGAGTCCATTATTCACTAGCATCTATACTAAAGGTGCTCTAAAGCACGTGGGTACCCCTTTTGCATAATGCCTTATCTAGATGCTTCAGTTCTGCACAGACTTGAGAATCAAGCCAATAAATAATCTGTCTGACGGGCTAGACTGTGGTCTTAAATAGGCTCCAAAGGCAGTGTGGTGATACATGAATACATTTATATTATGGGACACTGGCGTCACCACACCCAGCTGAGTAATTCTTAGATGCAAGAGCTGGTTGAGGAAAGTTGGCCTCGAGTGTCCAGAGTTCTACAGGATCGGTGGAGGATACATCTTTTTTGGTGTGTGTGTGTGTTTTTTAAGATTTTATTTATTCATTCATGAGAGACACAGAGAGAGAGGCAGAGATACAGGCAGAGGGAGAAGCAGGGTCCTCGCCGGGAGACCCATGCAGGACTCTATCCCAGGACCCTGGAATCACGCCGTGATCCAAAAGTAGATGCTCAACCACTGATTCACCCAGGTGCCCCACATCTTTTTGAGTTTAAAATATTTTTTAATTATGTTTTCTTCAATGCGTTCCCCAATGCCCAACTGGCATTCTAAATTTGCTCTTAAGATTCATGTTGGGGGTAAATGAGTCTCTCTCAAATGCAATACTAATCAAAAGATATTGACAGGTAATATAGCTCTTTTTGTCCAAATTGTACTGCAATGGGGATTTGCATTGATCATGGGGACCCTTAAAACCCAATTGTGAAAGTTTGGTTTGATTTTTGTTTGGATGTCACTGGAGGGAATGCTGAGTTTCTCAGAACCTTTGTCATGAGCGTTTCAAGGTCTAGACATATTTCTAACATCAAGCAGAAATTGGGGACTGTCTGCTTCAGCTGGAGGTTAACATTGCTCCATATGTTAGATTGTATCTACTATCTTCAACCACATGTTTGACATTGTGATACATCTTGACAAGTCTACCTTTAACATACCCAATGCCAGTGTTCTTTTTCTTTGTAGGGCCAAGTAATCTAAAGTTCAGGAGTTGTATTCACAACTTTGTTAGCCAGTTTTTTTCCTCATGTGTTTTACCTACTTTGTTGAGGGAGCTATGTTGGCTCCTTGTTCAGATACTTCTGGAATCTAGTGTTGTCTCACCATCTCCACTACTTCCAATCTGCTAGTTACCATCTTTCCTTCACTGTATTACTGCAATCATCAGCTGTCACTTGTGCCCTCCTTTATCTATACAAGATAGCCAAGAAAGTCATGTTAAAATCATCTAAGCTAGATTATGATGTCCCCCTCCAGATCCCTCAGTGCCTCCCCATTTTTCAGGAAGTAAAAGCCAAAGTCCATACAGTTACTACAGAGCCCCTCCCTTTACTTCTGATCTCACCCCTAATTCCTCTTAGCCCTTCATTCACTCCACCCCAGCCACACTACCTCTTTGCAGTTCTTTCCTCACACCAGGAAGGCTCTTGCCTCAGGAATTTATATTGGCCATTCCCTGTCTAATGCTTTTCCTCTCTTTGGTGTTTGTACTGCTCACACCCACATCTCCTTAGTATCTTCTCTCAAGGGTCATTTCTCAATGAGGCCTACTCTGACTGCCTATTTAAGTTACTACCCAATACCTTCTCCTCTGCCTTCCCAACTCCGTTCCCCTGATCTACGCTGTTTTTACATTTTTTAAAGATTATTTATTTATTTATTCATGAGACACACACACACACAGAGAGAGAGAGAGAGAGAGAGAGAGAGAGGTAAGGACACAGGCAGAGGAGGGAGAAGCAGGCTCCATACAGGGAGCCTGATGCGGGACTCTATCCTGGGACTCCAGGATCACGCCCTGGGCCTAAGGCAGGCACTAAACCTCTGAGCCACCAAGGGATCCACTGTTTTTAAATTAAAAAAAAAAATTTTTTTTTAAAGTAGGCTCCACACCTAGCATGAGGCTTGAACTCACCACCCTCAGTTCAAGACCTGAGCTGAGATCAAGAGTTGGACACTTAAGCAATTGAGCCACCCAGGCGCCCCTCTATTGCTTTTTCTTGTAGCACTACATACACCTTGTCACCTGTGTTGCCATTTAATTATTGATCATGGTTATTTGTTTTCTTTTCTGTCTCCCTCTGCTAGAATATAAGTTCAGCAAGGGCATAGGCTTGACTGTTTTGTTTAGCAGTATGTTCTCTAGGGCCTAGACCATTGCCTGACTCATAGTAGACTCTCAAGAAATATTTGTGGAATTAATGAAAAATACAGGACCAGCCAGGCTCTACAGCAATGCTTCTTCATAAACATTTGGTTCCCCTCTCTTCTTGAGCTTTGTTAGTTCTCTTACAAAGGTCTAGTATTACAGTGGGATAGACAATGAACTCGGAAACTAAAATATTTTACTCTCCCTCCCCATATGCCTAAAGCCTTTAATATCTGCATAGTGGCTTTCTTTCTTTCTTTTTCTTTTTTTTTCAAATTTCTCAGAAAATTATGTTAGAATATTTCTTTAATCAGGATGCATGCAGCTATGTTTGACATAAAACCTAATTTAAAGTGTAATGAGGGCACAAGGGCACAAGAGCACCTGGCACTGGGATCCCAAGCAGACCGGGTTTGGCCACTGACCACTGACAAAATCTAAAGGCAGGGACATGAGTGGTGATGAAACAGGAAAGGAATTTATTTCAGTTAGTCCAGCACTGGGAAGAAAGCAGGCTAGCCTCTCAAAGTCTGTCTCCAAAGTGCTGAAAATACTTACAGGTTTATATAAGGAGAATGTGGGACAAAGGTGGGTGGTTATGTGCAGGTAGGCAGTAAAGGCCACATAGATCATTGTCTTGGGGTCAGTCTACATAGGCCCTCCTGGCTCAGGGCACTAGTTATTGCTTGAGAGGGTAGTTTTGGTTCCCATGATGGGATGCTTTGCCCTACAGGGTCTTTTGCTCAAGTTGAGAGAAAAACTGGAAAGAATTTAATGAGGAAGTACAGACTGTGGTCAAAACAAAGGTAGTTGAAGTCCTCTCTCAAAAATGGCTTACACAATGAGGATAGTTATTAGATCACAAAACTGGGGATTCAGAGGGGTGGTATAAGTTTCAATGTCAGCTTTATCCAGTGATTTTGCCTTCCTGTGTATGTGGACCTTATCTTCACATACACAGGATGGGCAAAACCCAGAATAGCACAAGGGCATTGGCAGTTCCTGACTTCGCATCTGTTTACCACCATATCCGGCAGGAGGGAAGGTGGCCTCTGGAAGCCAGGACCAAGTTTCCAAGAAACTTGCAAACTGAAATCAGTCCCTGGTGAGGAGAATGCCATTACTCTTAGACCAGGGTTCCTCTACTATGGGGTTATTGGTATTTTGGGTTGGATAGTTCACTGTTGTAAGAGGCTGTTCTGTGCATGGCAAGATGTTTTGCAATGTCCTTGGCCTGTACCTGGTAGATGACTTCCTACTTGTTGTGACA